ACCAGTCTATCACAGGGCTACACTTAGAGACAGACAACCAAGCACACTCACATTCACACCTACAGACAATTTACAATCACCAATTAACCTCAACATGTTTTTGGACTGTGTGGGAGGAAGCCGGAGAACCTGGAGAGAACCCACAGAACATGCAAACTCCATGCAGAAAGATGCCCCCACCAGGACGCGAACTGGCGACCTTCTTGCTGCGAGGCAACAGTGCTACCAACTGAGCCTCCTGGATGAACTCAAACACAATTTTAAGCAAAGAGGGAAAAACAAACCCACACATAATAAAACAGTGTTGAAATCAAAGGTCTTACTTGATGAGTGTGTCGTATGTATGGATCCTGCACCCAGACCTCCTTGAGAGCACTGCTGATGTATGGCTTGAACAGAACCTCATAGCTGTAACCAGTAGCATCCTCTGCTATTCTTATCTGTTCATGGTACTTTCCATCTGGCAGGACAGAGGAGACAGGAAGAAAAGAGAAGCAGACTTCAGCCTGTAAGTGTGACACTAACTGTCCTACCGTCATTCTTCAGAATCACTTTTCTGGTTGTATCATGTATGGCAAAATTAGTCCAGTATGACAACTTGCTATTGTGCAGAGCAGAATATTTGTGCAGTGCTTGAGCAGAGTTGTAGGTGAGCTGGTGTGCTCGAGGTGCAGCGAGTGGGGAGGGGTGGGTGGAGAAAAAAATCAGCGACTTTATAGAGTTACACATTTTAGAGGAGGCAACCACGTAGACGTAGATTATGTTCATGGAAAACAACTTCTGAATATGTAATTTTGATACCTAGAGATTAGTTTGTATGTGTTTATTCAGTGACTGGAGAGGAAATTTATTATTATTATTGTCTAAATATGCACAACCAAAGCACCTTATTTCTATATATCTTAATTAAACATTTGACACAGAAGCCACATCATCACCGGCTGTGACTATCTGCTTGCAGATGCAGACCTTGTGTCAAAAATGCACATGGGTCATTCCTATATTAATGCTTGTGAGGTCACATCACCATACAGGCCTTTGTGGTGAATTACCTTCTTTCATCTGGTTCACTTGAGCTTTGACTTGCTCTGCTCTGTCCATGTAGCCCTTTATCTTCTCCCTGTAGTGCCCTCTCTTTGAGTCATCTTTCACAACTGCTTACATGAGAAAGAAAACACGTAAAAGTGATTACCCATACCTTTGAAACCGTCTACATTTAGTATATTTCTTAAAAACAGGGTTAAACGGGACCTTTCAACACGTCCATGAGCAGTTGGATGCCTTCCTGGTAGCAGACCAGAGACTCCTGGAAGCGGCCGCTCTGGTCCAGCTCCACCGCCCGCTTCAGGACGGACACAGCGGACGCCTCCATCCCCGCTACATGATTTTGTGTCATTTTTAGGTCCTTTTAAAATATTCTATAAAACTGACGACGTTTCATGCTTAAATAATGGCAGGGAATCACTGAAGAAAACAGTGCTACACTCCCAATCTGACAACTACTTGAGTCCGCCACAAAAATAACTCCGGGGGAAACGTAATGGCTGCCGAAAGGATCTACGTACACTTCCGATACAAACATACACCTAAAGTATCTATATTTCTTTCTTTAAAGCGTAAAAAAATTAAACAGTTTTTTAAAAATTTGTTTTTAAGACTCAAACAAAGTCGGAAAATTAAGAATATAAAAAATGTTCAAAGAAAATGTGCCACATCGGAGCAACTTCAATGTAACTCCTCCACGTTTCCGGTCGACACAGAGAGGAGACATGACTTAACATGACACAAACGTGACTAACCCTGCTTTGCGGTTATTTTTCGGCGTTGAATTCGTGTTTTACATGTAAATTTGTTGCAAATGGTAGAAACATCGGTACAGTTTAATAGCATTTAGCTTCACTCGGCCCACGGTGTTATTTTGCGGTCAGCAGCGCCGTAACCTTGGCCTACATGCTTGTAGTTTTTGGAGCTGAAGTGTAGCTGGTGGCACAAAAATACAACATGTCAGGTATCTGTCGCAGTTTGGGCTTCTTGTCGGTCAAGGTGAGTACCACGCTTTGTATTTTTGTTGTTTCAAACTTGAACCGTCTAAAAAGTAAATTGCCTTTAGTGTATGTTTACATCAATAACACGAGAGGCATTGCTCGGATATTGAAATATTTCGGACTAAACCAAGCCTAGAACCTAGACATTAACCCAATAATGAACCATTTTAAAGTCATGGTAAGTCCGGTTACAAGTAAGTTAAGTGTGAGACACTGAGCTCTGGGAAAGTAAGGCAGCTTCCTTTCTTTTATGCTTATCCATGTTCCACATTAATATCACAGTGAGAGCATAATAGCTAAACAGTGGTTCTGTAATGTGATCCTCGGAGTTAGTGTATTTCTACAGCTAATATCGTGCAAGAAAAATATAATAATAATAGAAAAATGTATTAAAACCACTGAGCTAGACCAGGGATTGTCATTTTTAGCTGGATGTTTAAATAGTCCAGGTGCTGATGAGGAGAAAAAATACTTATAAAGTCCCAACCCCCCATTCAAAATACAAAACCTGAAATACAAAGCTGATACTAATAATCAGACCCATCTGTTGCATAGAAGTGATAAACAAACCTTTGTCTTGCGCTAAGAAGTGTTTTGCATCCACAAGTTGACTTCAGTGAAGCTGTTTAACACATGATTTGAGTTCCTTCATTAAAAGTTTGTTCTCTTGATTTTACATATTGTCGTTGATGTCAGTACTTTTAAGTCTCTTCTCAAAGCGTCCCTCTATGTGCATGTGTTTTTCTAGTTTTCCCTATAATCTTATCTGCTTTTGTTTCTACCTCTGGTTCTATTTTTGTTGTTTATTTTAGCTTACATTGTGTGTATCTTCTGCTTCCCCTTTTATTGTTTATACATTTATTCTTTATTATTATGGTTTTATTTGTATTTATGTATGAGGGATAGCAATAAGAAAACATTTCTCTACTGCTTTTAGAATGTGTGTATTGAGCAGTTCAGAGATTTGATTATTCTTGAAGGCAGAAAAACCTCATAACAAAAAAACAAGCAAATTAAAAACCTCTAAACTGTTGATCCTGTGCTATTCACAAAAAAACTCAGGGCTATAACCTCAGCACCACAGATAGAGATTGCTTAAAATTTGTATAGTTGAAAAAGAAAAATTCAAGATTTCTAGCAATGACACTGGCCACAATGGCTCAATAAACCCAGACTGCACAAGCAATATGACAAGTTTGAAGAAGTTATAATGTCTCATGTCATGTCGGTCCACCCTACAGGACAATGTGCATTAAACAGTAAATAAATAAAATAAACCTGCCATTGCTATAATACTGTGCTTTTCTTTTTAACTCCTCTTTGTTTGCATGTGTTACAGACCCTGAATGAGGCTACAATTTTGTCACCTTGCGCGTGGATTGTGTCAGCACGCAGCAAATTTACCAAATCAAGAATTCCAGAAAAGGTGAGAAGTCATAGATTCCCTGTATCTCAGTTTCACATGATTGAATGAATTGTAAATTTGTAACAATTAGAAACAGAATCAACTAATGGTGACGCTCCTTTGTTCCTCACTTCCAACTGATTAACGCCATCCTGCAGCTCATTTGCACCGCTGTCAGTAGTCAAAACCTCTGTATTTTTCTTTGCAGCTTTTTGCTGAGCGATCACAAGAACATGAGAAGTATGGAGGTGATCCAGACCAACCTCATAAACTGCACATAGTGACCCGAGTCAAAAGTGTGATCCGAAGGCCGTACTGGGAGAAGGAGATGGTGAAACACATGGGGCTTCAAAAGGTGAGCCCACAGTCATTGTCAAAGTCCACAGCAAATTTGGTTGCCTTTGTGAAAAGCTTTGGATTTTATTGTTTTTTTGTTTTTTTTGTGTGTATATTATGTGTAAACGGGTCAATACTTTTATAAGTACATCAAAACACTAGCATCTGCTGTCAACATCAGGTCTTAAAACTTTTTCAGCCATTTTATTCTTTTTTTTCTGGAGGAGCTGCATTTTAGCAGCCTGATCAGCATTATACTCAGCAGCCCCCATTGTAGTCTAAATAAGCAGTTTTTATCGAGCTCAGTGAGCAGCAGAAGGATGATCCCTACACATTTTTAGCTGTGATTGTATCATCCTATGAAGATACATAATGTGTCCACTCTAGAGGCACCAACAATATTTATTATGGTATTTTCTAGAGGCAAAAGTCTCCTGAACTCACAGCCTTGGATTTTGTTTGTACTAACTCTGGTTTGTCTTTGTCTTGCATTTAGGGTCATACTCCCGTAATTCACAAAAATACACCTGCAGTTAATAACCAACTGAAGTATATCAAACACCTCCTGAGGTAAGATAAACGTACACAAAGTCATCACACAGCTGCTGTAAATCACTGTACTACGTGTAATCAAGCATGCCATGCAATAAAATCCTGACATTGCAAAAGCATAGATTTATGATGACACACTGTAAAGTAATTGACTTGAGTTATGCTGCTTGAACCTTGAATATGTGCATAACAATGCTATCCATGTGACCACTGACATAACTGACCTTTCCTTCCTTTCTGTCTTGTCCTCCTGGTTCTTTCAGGATCCGGCCGCTGAAGACTCCCTATGGGCTCCCTGCTGAAGAGGACATGGCCGACACATACATTAACAGCAAAGGAGAGCTTATCATACGTCGCCTCCTCCAACCTGTAGACCAAAAGGCAATAGAATCTTAACTTTGCTCCCCTAAGAGTTCAGTTGTTCTTTAATGTCATGGAACAGCTTCATAACTTTATGTTCTTATTTTGAGAAAAGGCTGTGGCATCATCCAGATTTGAGAAAGGTTGCATGGAGTGTGTCGAGGTTTTTTTGGATGTTAACCCTCAAATGAATATGAGAAATGTTGTCATCAGCCTGTCTCACAAGTCCTTCAGCAAACTGGGGCTCATTGTCATGAAGCAGAATTTGCCAGTTTGTCTAACTTCCATGACAATTTTGCAACAGGTGATGCCTCTGAATCTTTGTTTAACATGATTTATTAAAGTCAAAATAAAAACCTTTTGAAATGAAAAGCATTCTATATCCTCTTCACTTCCTATTTCTGAAATCTTGCTCATCGTCTTTGTTGGGTCACATTAACAATGGCAATTTTAAGGCCTTATTTTGGTGGCCAAGTTGAAAGTTGTACACATTGAAGATCCACTGAGAGTTGGCTTTCAAGTGTTTTTCCTATATGCCTCTTTACATGTGTAGTAAGGTTGGAAAACATACACTTTATCCAAATACATTTTAAACTTTGTTTTTCCACAGTTCCTGGTATTTAAGCCCAGCGTGTCCTCCTTGTCTGAAATCAAGTCAGAATCACTATTTCATTTCATGCATGTGTCGTGTCAGAATAATGGTGGAGATATTTATTTTAGCTTGAATTTCTTCTATCACATTTCTAGTAGGTCAGAAGTCAAAGTAGATGTCCTACTACTTCATGGTTAACACAAGTAATTTCACCAACGTTCGTTTCCAGAATGTTTTGGTTTTAATTTACTACATCAGGAATATATATCAGTCAAATGTTTACATACACAAAGTTGGCTCCCTTTAAAGGGCTAGGGAAATGTTCATGGCTATAGATGCTTTTGAAATGAGAGTCAATTAGAGGTCTGTCTGTATTTTAAAGTCTGCCCTTTAAACTCAATGCATCTGTACTTGACATCACAGAGCAATCATATGGAATCAGCAAAGACCTTAGAAAATAAAACTGTTGACATCAAGTCAGGCGTAATTTCAAAACCTCAAAGGGAACTGTGTCCATATGTCCACACAATAACGGCCACCACCACAGGACTGCACAGCTGCCACACCTCTCAGTAGGGAAAGAGCTTGGCTCATCATGTTATCATGAAATCTATGAAATAGTTAAATAACCAGTTTTAATGATTTCAATTTTACATTTCTTCTTATTGTGGGCATACTGAGTTTCACCACAGAGCTTCAGCCGGCTAACTTGAGATGACATTTTTTCAGCTACAAAACAATAAATATCCCTGTGTGGGCTTTTAACGTTATTTATATCAATGATGAAATGTTGACTTTTATTGAGTCATAGTGTCACAGATTTTGTTTTCCAGAAACAAAGGGCCAAAAACAAAACATGATCACTCGGTGCGATCAGTATTTTACAGCCACCTCTTGCAAGTACTTCACCTGTGGCTCTATAAAGAGGAGTAATACAAAAACAACAGGAGCACAGTTTTTTTTTTCATTTCTTTTATGCTTTTTATTAAGTTTGCATTAGTTAAGTCAAACTCTTGCTACAAGGAAATGTCATGTAAAAATGTATTCAGATGTTAAATCACAATCTTGGCACCCACATGCTAAATGAGCAGGCTGAATGAAACATGCCAACTGATTTCATAAAATAATTCCACACATATGGTAAATTAAAACACAGAAATTAACGCAATGAATAGGTAAGTCACAAAGAGAAGGAAAATGAGAGCAGGCTGTCCGCTAGACTGTTATTAATGAGGTAGCCCTGAGAGAGAAAACCAGCTAACTGTCAAAACTTTTCAGTCATCTCCAGAATCTGAATCTGAGTCGTAACCTCGCCCTCTGATGGTTTTCTTCTCCACTTTGGTGAACTTTGTGCCTGATCTCTGCGTCATTGTTGGGGGCTCCATCAGGTTACCACTAGGACGGGAAAAAAGAATGTAAGTTGAATAATAATAATAAGCGCTTTACTGTAATTCTGTTCGTCCAAAAGGTCAAGCAGTGTCTCACCTGTAGTTGATGACATCTGCACAGCCAAGTCTCCATTCAAGCATCTCGGTGGGAAACTCATCTGTGTTGCCCAGGTCAGAGAATCCAACCACATAGTCCTTCGTTTTTCCGTCTATCAGCAAAGCCAGCGTAGGAATGACTTTAATGCGCAGCCTCTCTGTCAGAAATGGGGCCTTTTCTACATTCAGCTTGAGGAATTTGGTCTCCACGTGCTTCTTTGCCAAGATGGCCAAGTGTTTGTCGAGGATCTTACATCTAGATTTAGGGGATGGAAGACAGAAAGACAAGTTTAGTGGCATGATGATCACATACTGCAGCGACTAAATTTTAAACACGATAACACTGTAGGAACACACTGAAGCAAAGTCTGAGCAGGTCTGATTTCTATGCATTCTTTGAAGCGATTAAATTAGGGATGAAAATGAATCATTCATAGCCCTGTTGCATCTCTTAGTGGCTATATTCATATAACTGTATGGACCGGGGACTCACCTGAAGGTTGAATTTCTGTAGAAGTGGCAGACAACATTCTTGCTATCTTTCACCTCACCGAAAAAGTCTTTCTCACTGGGGACTTCTCTGTACTCCCCATGGCCTTTGGACAACCACTCCTTAAAAGCAGAGAGATCAGATGAATAACAGAACAAAAGATTTCTTATAGAGGAAAAAAATGGCTTTCATGTCAGAGCACAATGAGAACAAAAGACTTCCTTTGCTGGTTAGTTGGGAGCATGAACAATGACCCATATTCCAAATGAAATATCCACTTCCTGATGTGTAAAATAAGTTCAGAGCAACATTTAGTCCATAAAGTACTCCAGGGCTCCCACAATGGTCCTTCAGACAGGCGTTCCACTGATTACAAAACCGGCTTCCATGCTCATTTTTGTAGCATGTATTCTGTTAATGTAATCTAAAACAAACAACTGTCTAATTTTCACTGCAGCTTTGCCATAAGCAAAAAAATCCCTATCTAACTATATGGCTCTGTTAAGAGACAAGTTTGGGCAAAAAAAAAAAAACAGCACTGGCATAGACCTGTAATCTCTTCTGACTTAAGATTCTTTAACAGTGCCCAGTAATAGCATTCAAAAACTCCCACAAAATAAAGGAACATTTCCACGTACAACAAAACATTTTCTGCAGTGGATGCTGGTAACAGGTGCATGTACTTAGTGCTTCAGATGATTTTATCCACATTAAGAATTGGTCACAGTGAAGTAACACAATACACTGTATCACTGTATCAGACACACAAATGCATAAAAGGTGTCTAAAACGTCCCACGAACCTGCTTCTGTTTCTGCGCTTTTTTAAGTTGCTCTAATCGCCTCTCCTTCAGTCTCTCCAAGTCATCTTCATCCATATCATTCAGCTTGCTCAACTGTGCATCCACCTGCTCCTCAACCAGCTTGGCTGACTGCTCCAAAACCTTTGTTATGATGTCCATTGGTTGGTTGGCCATTGTGGTCTGCTTGGTGTGAAAACTCTCTCAGAATCTGAGGAGATAAAGAACAGATAATGTAAGCTGAGACATAATATCAGGTCACACAAAAAATGAATAATGAGCAAGTTTAGGCACTGTAATGAATGTTTAAAAAAAACAAAAAAACAACAACAACTAGGTTTGCAACATAAACTGCACCCTCAGTTGGCAGTTGTCCACCCAGCTAAAACAAATGCAGTCTAAAGGAACAACTGTAGTAAATCCCTTTGTCACTGGATTTTTAATGTTCAGCTTTGTTGAAATCTTCAGAGATACTCATTTAACATTGTGCTCATTTTGGAGGCTGCAGTTTGTGATTATTCCAAACTGTATTGTCGATGGATGTTCAAGGTTCCATAGTGTGCCGATTTCAGTAAATTAATGAAAGTCTCACATGTCCCCGGAGTGTATCTTTAAATCTTAGTGTTGTCTTTGCTGTAGCTTTAAGTGCTTGAGCTGCTGCTGTTGCTGTCCACGCTCCCTTCAGAAAGAAGACAGTCTGCATTTGTGAGTGACAGCACGGAGCAAAACAGAGCATAGATGATAAACTGACAACTCAGCGCAACTGGCATCCGTAACCAATACATGGATGCCAGCTGCCTTAACATGAACTGCTATTTTTTTTTTTAAATCACCAGCTGTGTGAATAACGAAGGGAGTAAGTGAGAGGCTTCTATCATCGGGCTAACGTTGGAGACAAAGCCATGGTAACGACTGGACACGCCTTTTTCTGCCGGGTGCTAGCTAGCGCTAACCTAGCGTCAGCGACCTACTTAGTCACCTGTTACAACTGCTAATCGCTGGACATTTCCTTTTCTCCCTTTCCGTTGAGGTAACTAATAAAATGTGGCTGAGAGTACTAACTTCTGCCGGAAATTAAAAATACATCTAGAACTTATGTTAGCTTGCTATGCTAGCTGGCTAACGTTAGCCCTCCGATTGTCGTAGACGTTCCCTCACCAGAGAAACTCTTGCTCCGCGTTTGGGTGACAATAAACGTCAATGGTGGGCTGTGTTGCTATTAAAATATGCAAAGATAAAACCAAACCGCTGTTAGTGCTATTACCTGGTGAAGTGACAAGAGCCCGGCGGTACTTCAGTTCATGCGGGAAACGGTGAAGACAACGTCACAGCAGGCCCGTCGGATGTCACACAACTACATCCGGGCAACTCAGGAAATAGAGGAGAAAAAAGAAAAGCGTTTTTAAAATTTGTGATATAATATTTAACTGGATAAATACTATTTGTTTAATATTATTCACAAAAAATAATGCTATGAAGAGATTTTTTTTTTAAATTAATGTATATTTTAACATATATTTTTATGTTTTAAAATTGTATTTTAAAATATATATATTTAAACACCACATTTGCTATAAAAAATTCTAATATTTGCATTATTTTGTAAATAAACTCTAATCTCTCTGTATGTAAAAAAGCAATGTAATTTATTTTTTTATTTTTTTTAAATACACGTTAGTCTATAGTTATCAAGAATAATAACATACTATTACAAAAATTGGCTACCATGATAACTTAGGAGAAAAGCCAAAAATAAAATAAAAATGTAACAATCTAAACTTTCACATGACACACACACACACACACTCACTCTCTCTCTTACTACTGGCACCTACAACCACGAGCAAATGCTTTAACATTTTAAGCCTGTAAACACTGCAAACCTAAAAAAGGGAAATAAAACTTTATACTTCAATTTTAGTGTTTTGAATATCAAAATATTAAATATTGTTATAGTCATATAACCCTCACCATCAAATCTGGGATGTGATGCAGATACAAATGAGCACATTTTATTAGATAGGACATCCTTTGCTATTTCTAGTTATATGAGTAAGAAATAACATAGCTTCCAGTTCTACAAAGATAACTTTCAGGACCAGAATTACCTCGGTTGAACACCTTTCCCTTAGTGTGGCTGCAACGTGAAAAAAATTAAAATAAACTGACAAAGACACATGAATTAATACAGAGTTTAAGGTTTATTACCAAGACTTAGAAAACTTACAAACAAGTTCACAGCTTCAGGTCTTCAGGCACGAGCCAGTTTAGAGAAGACAAGACTGGCCAATTTGAACTTCTGGCCATTCCCTTCAGGAAAGATATGACAGGTGAAGAGAAGCAACATCTTGAAAGTGAGTGGAGACCCGCACATTCTGAATTACATTCATTTCAATAAGTTTAAAAAGATGACAGACTGATTTGGTTTGCATATAGAGAAACTCCTTTAAACAAACGTGTCAGCCGCACGCATATTATCTTTTAATGGTGAGATCACAAGTCAGCCAGCCAGCCAGCCGCATCTGCTGAGTATTTCTAATAACCCATCATAAAAGTTAACTTCACAGAAATACAACAATGTAGCCACAAGCCATACAAGTGTCTCCAAGGAGGGAATTACACAACATGGAGTTAAAAATCAGATCACCTGTTCCTATGCAAATCCAGCATTATTTCAATATTTAGACTTTATGAAACCAGTGTAAACACACTCAAATACTCGATTAACTCCAGATACAAATGCTTTATGAAGTGTTACGTTACCTTGAAGGGACATCTCACTTGATTGTGATAAAAAATAAATGCATAGGCTACTTATTGATTGCCATAACCCCTGCTAATATCCTCCCGAATCAGAGTGCTACTGAGAATCAACAGTTAACCTCATATGAAGAACTTTGGCCAGCTTCTGATTTCCATGTCGGAACACTTAGAAACGATTAAAGAGTGAGAAGAGTTACAATTTAAAGACTGTTACTAAGAATTCACTACTGGTAAACAATACAAGAGGTAATTCCTCTACATACATGTTATTTCTTTTAAAACTTTTAACAAGAATCTTTAAAAACCTTATTTACACACTGCAATAACAGAGTTTGGCACTTTTTTCCTTTTTTTTTGTATTTTTTTTTAAGAGACGATACTACTGTATGCAGCAGTCGTAGATACTTCACAGATAAGTGCTAGTGTCAAGGAGCACCAAACAAAACAATGTTGAAAAAATATTAGGTCTTTTTTTTGTTCTACCATTTCTATCATTTGTCTGACGTACGAGGAGTGCTACGAGGCTAACAGATGCTAAAACTGGCAGAATATGCTTTGTGTCTAACTTGATAAAGTGTTTAATCCATGGACAAACGAGGAAAAGTCAACTGCTATGTCAGACACTCACCAGGAAAAGAGAAATTCAAAATCTTACAAGGCCTGGCTAATGTGGATGTGTAAGAAATAGATAAGTGCTGCCTGCAAAAACCTGCAAAAAAGATTTTACACATGAAAGGAAAGTATGAAAAACGATTGAATTTGCAAAAAGCTGCTACGATTATCACTGTTCTGGGTTTTGTTGAGTAGATTTCCAGTACATTTTCTGTCCTTGAGTTTGTGTTACTTTTAACTAACTTACTTGGAACTTTTACTACTGAGTAAGTGCAGTAAATGATGTGTTGTATATACTTTCTTTCAATACTGTCACGGCTCTTTCTCAGAAGAGAAAAGAAGAAAACTCTCATCTAGATGTCATAATTCAGATCATTCAGAATGCAGATAACCTTTGTGAAAGTAGCAAAACAAGATCGTGGTGATGTAGTGATGACACATAATGTTTCATTTCTTCTTCATGCTATCTTCAGGGTGCTGCCATAAGCCTGCTGTACAACCACCTGCACGTTGTCCAAGATGAAGTCAAAAGCCATGCTCCAAACAGACTCCACAGACTGCTGCATGATCCTGCAGAAAACAGATCAACAGGCAACATGAGGAATAAGAAAAGAAAAAGTAGAAATAGATAAGTAGATAAATGGAGGAAGCTACATTGTGCAGAACTCACCTTTTCATATATTTTATAATCAAATCCAACCTCTCCAGATCTTTGTCCTCAATCAAATCGGTGCAGTATTTCACCACCTGCAGGATGTCCTCCTCCATGGGTTCTAACAGAAAGTAGGAAATTATTAAAGACATGGAACAAGACCAGAGACAACTACATGTAGTGAAGTTATATGTGCTTTTCACTGTGTACCTGTTATGGTGGTGACCCATTCTCGAAGAAGTGTTTTAATGTCTGTTAGGTCACAGGCTCCGGCCAACGCTGGAGCAGGACGAGCGATCAACTTCGTCACCGACTCTGGGATGTCCGGCTTTAAGGACGATGTGGAGGGATCAGTTTCAGTCTGTGAAGTTAAAACCAGGAGTTATAAACATTTAGCAAGTTCCAAACTGCCATAAACTGTCTATCATCACAATCTGCCACCATAAAAAAAAGAAAGATTTTCATCTTCATGTGTGAAACCGTTGATCGACTCACCTTTAGTAGGTCAATTGGCTCCCGTGCCTTTATAGCAGGTGGTAGGGTTTTGGCTGGACTGTTTGTCATCTGACGCTTCTTCAGGGGTGAAGCTCCTTTTTTAACCGGGCTGATTGCGTTCTTCCTCTTGTAGCGCCGCTTTACCCGACCAATGCCAAGTCCTACGCCAGACTGTTTCAGCTGCAACAGTGGATTCTTCTGCTCCACTGCAGAGAAACCAACACATCAAAAATTACGACTAAGATTGCGAGCAATCTTACACTTCTGGTAAAAGCAAAAGCGATTTCCAGACAACTAATCCACATATTGACTTACAAATTTTCGCCTGAGTGTGGACGTTTGTTACGCGGCTGTAGGCAGACTTCAGCTCCTCCTGCAGCTCTTTGGGCAGCGCAGCAAATACGTCTGGATCAACCTGCAGTCAGAGAACCAGGAAGCTGAACATCTATTCAATACCAATGATATCAGCGTTGCATATTTTGAGAACTCACGATTATGACGTGCTCAAAACATGTCAGCACACTTTGGTCTCTGTATTGTGTTTACTAAAACCAAACTTAGCCCAAAAACCCGACAAGTGAATTAGTTTCTCAGATTCTCTTTTTCCAAGCTAGACTAGACACTGATGGTAAATAATTACATCACCTGAAAATGAGTTGATTACGTTCGACTTTCTGTGTGATTAGTTTGTGTACTTGTGGGTGCATTTAAAACGTCACAATACAAATGACAAGTTATCTAAAGAAATTAATTTCTAAACTACAATTAGGTTGTTTTCAATTATAGACCACAATTCTACATCAATGTTTTAGAAGAGATACGGCAGAAGTAGAAAATAATGAGCTAAGTTAGACTTGTTTGTAGTCAGCAGATACACAGTATGATGTCGTGTTAGAGTCAGCTTAAGTGTGCATGTGTTTCAGTAGAAAACTGGGCTTCTCTAAGGAATGTCGTTTATTTACATTAGCACAATTTCAAATAAAAGGCAGTGCAGTATTTTGCCTGTGGCTCAGTGTTATTTAATAGCGCTACACACAATGATGTAAAGACACTGAAGTGGGAAAATCTATATACTAAAACATCTAGGCTAGTTTGCCGCCATTTGACTCAGACCCACATAAGGTGATAAAAATAGCAAACCTCCACATAGCAAAAAGGCTATATAGGGCTTTTTAAAGTCTGAGACTATGGATCTCCCCACAGACAAAAAAGGCCTTTTCTATGATATGTATTAGTTTCTGGCTCTGGCAAAAAAAAAACTAGCCCTGTGATAGACTGACGACCTGTCCAGGGTGTCCCCTGCCTTCGCCCTGAGTCAGCTGGGATAGACTCCAGCCCCCCGCGACCCTAGTGAGGATTAAGCGGTGTACAGATAATGGATGGATGGAACGGAAAATTCTGCAACATTAGTGTACCTCACTGAACTACCTCTTTAACCATATGACACATTTAGGCTATTCTATGTGTTCTCTTTTGGATAACTAATTTAATAACTACTGTAATATTTTTTACTCCCATTCATTAAGCCTCCCCCAAAACTGTACAGAGATTTCCTGGGAAAGCAAACCTCCCACTTTGAAATACAATGGGCTATAAACTACTATCACAGAGTACATGTTTCTGTTCTACGGTAATGTTTAGAAAACTAAATGAAGCCTTTACCAATAAAATGTCCTGGTCTTCTCTGTTGCTTTTGGCGTAAAATTAAAAACCTTTCTAAAAATGGTGAACATCAAATCTCAAACTGTTGCATCCCTACCTGTGAAAAGTTCGGAAGTTCCAGTACAATTCCTGGACCGTCTGGCTGATTTGGAATCTGTAGAACCAATGTTCCTACAGGTGGAGTGTATAGTGCAGGTACAGAGGCAAGAGGAGGACGAGGAGGGGAGGATGGAAGAGAGTTAGCGGAGGGAAGCTGCAGACCAGCTGAATGGCAGTTGTTTTGTCTCCCGTCTCTTTTAGTCCACGACTGCTCCACTTGTTCTCTCAGCTCTGCAGGCAGGGCCTCCAGCACAGAACGATCCACCTGAGAGGTCACAAAGCAGTACAGTTTTGTTAAACTCATGTTATTGTTCAGCTCCCGTTTCATCAACAAGACATTTCCATCCAATCCTTACCTGTGAAGGGGATGGGACTTCAATACTGAGGTTGAGGCGTGTCCGACAATGTTTTGGAGTTTGTTTGCAAGCTGGCTGCTCTTTGCTTGTTCCTGGGACTGGCTCAGCAGGCGACAAAGGATGTGGAGGGGAGATAGCCAATGGAACTGTTGTAGAAGAAGTCTTTTCCTGATGTGTTTCTGCAGCATTTGTAACAATAGTCTGAGACTTGATGGGGTTTATAGACAACAACAACGATACAAACTGAATGACAAAGACAAGACAAACCTCTGTTGCTGGATTTGGCACTTGGTTCCTGGCCTATCAGCATATCTTTGATGGAGCGTATTCGTACCCCCTTATTGTCTTGGTGGACAGACTGATTTCGGTCAAGAAGCTGAACCTGGATGCCGATCCCTCTCAGGTCCTGTACCTGCAACTTCATGGCATGGAATAGCTTGATGACTGCGGTGGCAATCAGCTGTCCATTGTCAGTGGACTGAGCGAGCATCACAGTCCTGACAGAAGGTGAGACAAGTAAAGATGAGTTTACTAAGATACAATGACATGAATAGGCAATGGAAGGAGGACATTATTAATTACTGGTAACATGTAGTCTCTTTCTTACCTAGCTAGGTTATCACAAATGCCATGACCACCATATTTCGCTGGTTCCAATGGTGCTCCAACCTTGCGAACCATGACCTTCAGGGTGACTCTGCGACCCTTCAGTCCTGCTTCCTGTAAACGTTTTTGCACCTCCATGGATAAGTTAGTCAGGAAACACTCTGCTTCATCGACCTGGTGAGTGACAGAACAAAAGGCTTAGAATCTTTATGGCAAGTTAAGCAAGATTATACTGCACAGGATGAAGGAAGTACAGTAGGTCTAACCTTAGTGAAGCGAATGTTGTAGTTCATCTCAGCAGAGACAGACTTCCTCTCCTTCTCGTAGCGGACGGGCCGGTCATCCAGACCCCTACAGAAGCGGAATAGGGTTTGTCCAGTACGGGGTCCAAACTTCTTCTGCAGTTGAGATAAAGACACTTGCTGGAGATCCCCGCATGACCTCACACCCATAGCAGCCAGTTTTCTGCCCATAACAGGCCCAACACCTAGAAAAGAAAATGATATGACCATTTTATTGAATGTTTACTACACAAATGTTTAAAGGCTGCAGGTTGACGGCTACGACCAGCAGGTGGTGCTGTTTATCTACCTGGCAAGCTGGTCACTGGCAGATCCCTGATAAAATCATCCACTTCTTCAGACTTGAGGAAGTACTGCCCGTTTGGCTTGGCCTTACGTGTCGCCAGCCGAGCCAAAAGAATGTTGGACCCTGAACACATCGCATTATTCAGTAATTTCTAAGCTATGTCCACTGTGTTTATCTGATTTACAATATGGCCCAAACAGAAACTTACCCATGCCCACTGAAGCACAACATCCAGTTTTCTCGTGGATATCTGCTCTGATCGCTTTGGCCAGGACGTCAGGGTTGACGCCCACCTCAGCTAGCAGAGTCGAACCGTCTATCAACACTTCATCACAGCTGAGAGCCTCAATGTCATGGGTATAACTGTAAAGAGCAAACATTGGAGAAGTTAGGAAATGGAGATGTTATCTTGCATTGGAAAGGCAGGAAGTGCGTGAAATAGAGATATTAGTGTTGTTCTTACCTGGCCAGAATCTCATACATGTTTAGAGCCACTTCTTTATAGGCATCGAAATCATATGGGACAGACTGCAGCGTAGGGCACAACTGTTTTGCTTTGCCAAAAAACATCCCGTTCCTCACACCTGCCTGCCTGTGAAGGAAAAACATTTTTTAATTCACATTTCTGTTGTTGACTGCAAGGTGGCTCGGTGGTTAGCACAGTCGTCTTGCAGCTAGAAGGTTGCTGGTTCGCGCCCCGGGATATTTCTGCATGGAGTTTGCATGTTCTCCACCTGTAGCGTGGGTTCTCTCTGGGTTCTCCGGCTTCCTCCCAGATTGAGGCTAATTGGTGACTCTAAATTGTCTGTAGGTGTGAATGTGAGTGTGCTTGGTTGTCTGTCTCTAAGTGTAGCCCTGTGATAGACTGGCAATCTGTCCAGGGTGTCCCCTGCCTTCACCCTGAGTCAGCTGGGATAGACTCCAGCCTCCCCCGCGACCCTAGTGAGGATTAAGCGGTGTATAGATAATGGATGGATGGATAGATTCCTGTTGTTGGAGGAACAAGACACTAACACTCTGTGTTTATCTTACCTGGCTTCATAGCTGCAGGATGCAATCTCTGCCATTGAAAGAGAAGCAGCATCCTGGTGCACTCCGTTGGCATGAGACTCAGGACTTTCTTGAGAAGGAGTTCTGTGCAGATCATCGTCGGTACTCTCTGACAAATGGCAAGGACACACGTAGTTAGTCAGGTTAGGCATGTACAAGACATACACTGAGTCTGGCCTGTCATTCTCAGCAAACTAGTCGGACATGACGATCTCACCAGGTTGAGGATTAGTATATTTCCTCTGGTAGTACTGCAGCTCCACTTGAGGGTTAGCCCCGGGTCTCACAGGCACTCTGGCCTGACCACGGTTACTGGTTACAGCGACAGGCTTCCCTGCAAGAAAACCACAAATTCAACCAGGAGCACTGGCTGGATTTTTTAACATTATATCATCTATTCCTTGTGGATCATATAAACATGTTCTACTGAAAGCGCACATCTAAAAACAGACAAAAAAGGCCTTGCCTTTAAGCTCTGGTCGATGTCGAATCCCCACAGACACAAAGAAACAGTCCATGTCCACGTGGAGAATGCAAGATTTAACACTGGCTGGTGCCGAAGAACCTAACACAAACAAATATATAACGAATCATCAATGGACAGTTTTCAGAAAAATGAGACATCAAATTGTGTCACAGGTGCCTCCCAAAACACAGACGTGATATCACAGACAGCCCTTTGTTTCCTTTGTTAGGTTTTACAACTTGAGCATGCACTTACAACTGGGGATTCTGATACACAAAGATTCATTCAATGAAATATATTTTTTATATGTTCCCTTAACAGGGCATCTCATAGTAGGACAAGAGGACACATTTAGAGACATTGATGAGCAGGACATTCAAACGCCTAATTTCAACCAATGAAGCTGGAAAAGCCATGATACATTATCTTACAGCTCTGAGTCACCACAACTCTTGTTCCCTCTCCCAAAAAAAAAAGAGAAAAAAAAAAGAAGTTAGAAGAGCCCCCATCCTTTCCTACCTTGACTGTCTGTAGGTCGCTGGGAAACCAATTTCCTCAGTCGATCTTTCCCAGGAAAGCAGGCACCCCCTGCAACTTTCCGTTTGTTATGCAGTTCGTTGACATACTCAGAGAAGCCAGTCCTCCATGTGGAGATCTGATGCAAACGTGAGTGAGAGTAGAACTCGGAGATCAAACCGCCTGTCTGTTCTAGAAACTGAGCTGAAGACTTGGATGATGATAAGAACGACGACTCTCCGGCGGAAGGATCAGGTTTGGCCGTTGTGTTGGTTGTGCTGAGGGAGGCGGGATCAGATGAAAAGGCATTGTGGTGACTTCCGTTCAGTCGAACCGAAGAATGTGAAAGCGAGAGAGATGCAGGAGAATGTTGAGTTTTATCAGAAGTCGTGACAACTTGATTGGGTGTTTGGGGCTGTTTCGGAAGAAGGTGACTTTCGTTGGCTATTACAGCCTCATGGTAGGCGGGTGGTGGAGGTTTAGGTCGTTGCTCGGCTCCTTGTGAGCTGGATTGTTCCTCAAAATCAGGAAACTGGTCAGATTGCTTTGGAGGACTGTGGGGAAACTCATACGGGTCCGGCTTGGTCTGGAACTGCACTGGAGAACTCTGAGGTTTGTCTGGTGAACTCTTGACTCTGCTTTTGAGCAGGTCCCTGTCAGCAGAGGGTTGATCTGTAACAGGGGACAGGTCCTCTGGCTTTAAGGCACCATTAACAAGGTGAGTGTGTCCGTTGGTGAGGGGGGCTTCTTTCATCACCTTCGATGCCCCGGCAAGACAAGGATCATCTTTGCCACACTCTTGCATCTCATTGATTTTTGAATGGCTCATCACGTCCAATGAGGTCTGTAATAATCCGTTTCTGTGACAAAAAAAGGGTAAAGAAAATGTTTAATTTAATTTAATAAAAATATAACGTGTGCAAAAACTCTCCAATTTAGAAGGGAAAAATAAAACAATAAAAAAAAATTAAACCATTCAACCCATCACCTAAATTTACTCACTTTCTCACGTAGCATACTCACATTTTTAATTCCGCTTCCTGTGGGTGAGTGGACTGCGGAGACTTGTGTGGGTGCTTTGTGTGGCTCTGGTTAGACAGTGGGTGGGAGTGTGAAGGGTTTCTGTGCCTGGGGTCTGTAATGAGGTGACTGGATGCTGAATGACTGGGCTGGGGGGTAGCAGAGCGAGCTGTTGAGCCGTGCTGGATGGACTGAGGGTGGCTGTGGCTGGGGATAGGGACGGAGTTGTTCTGGCAGCCGAATGAAGACTGTTCATGGTTGAAAACAGAGGTCTGAATGTTGCGTTGTGGCAGATGAAGCTTTTGATGGGCATTCAGCTGAAGCGGCCCGTGACTCGGTCCTGCAATCTCTGAGGTCTGGCGTAGAGTCATGCCGGGGAAGAGCGGCCCTTTCTGCTTAGCATACAGCATGTACTGTAGATAGGGCAGGAGTCGCCCAGCCTTGATGCTATTATTAACAAAGTAAACGCATATATTTTCAGTTAGTATAATACAAAAGGATATTACATGTAGAAAATAGCCCCTTTCAGACATGAGAAATGACACAGTTCTGTCTTCATCAATCTGCTAAAGTGACAGCATGCTGTCATTCAGACATAGGTCACTTTTCCAGTAATGTGACTCATAGCTTCTTTCACAAATACTCCCCACACTGCTGGAGAGAGCCGCCATACACATGCAGTATTTATCAATCATGCAAGATTTAAAAATAAAAGAATAAAGTTGAGTATAATGTATAATAATGTAGTAACAAACAAACACCTAAATCTAAACCAATAGCAGCTTATCAAAGCTTAGTGTATTTATGATTTCCTTCACATTGAAAACTGTTCATGTGTGATGACAATATAACTACTATATTATTATCGCACATGATAACTAAAAAACTGTATTAAAAAAAAATCAGTGTGGCACTCTTTTGCTTTAAAGACGCTCATACGGATCCTTCTGCTGTCTCATGCTGCAAGTATTTGATAAATTCAGAGTAAAGACTCCTAAAAACAGCTGGAGGCAACAAACTAAACCGTGACTCCGTGCGTGACAGCTCACCTGCCTGATGTGAGGTACACGGCGTTCAATCCTGACACGGATTAAGATTTTCTACATGTCGGAGATAATTTATCATTTATAGGTAACTAATGAAGCTACTAGCGCTGCAAATGCACACAGCTCTTTTGCTTTGGAGATGCTCATGTGGATTCTGCTGCCGTCTGATGCTGCAGGTATTTAATAAGCTCAGAGGAAAGACTCTCTGGGATGTTTATGCGTGAATATTAGAGCTGAAATGTGGAAAACAACTCGAGGTGCCACTCCTTGTGCATGTCTTTCTGTTAATGTGCTCAGACTTGTGTCGTGTTAAAAGTGACACAGAAATGTTCCTAGATTTAGCCTCTTAAGATTGCCAATGCGACTCCTACAGAGAGCGCACATTCAGTTCAGCTGCTGTTAGATAAATGAAAAGGAGTGCATGTCTGAAAGGGGCTGGTATTATGATGCACTGAACTAACCTGTCAGTGATCCATTCTGGCCTGATGACTTTTTCCCCTTTGAGCTCCTGAATTTTGCTGTTGGGCAAATTATTGGCGATGATGTGGGTGGTCTTGGAGCGCGAGTAGTAGACATGGAACTGACCGCCATGCAGCATCATCAGCCTGCGTAGTTCATCTGCACTCGGCTCTGTTCGCAAAAATGAGACAGTTAGACAAAAAAAGAAAGAAAAAAAAAAGGGGGGGGGAACGATAATGACACCTTATTAAAACTCAATAAACACCTCCACCAGAGCTCAGTACACCTTAGGCACCTTTCTGACATGTACCCTCACACGGTGAAGGATGTCAGCTCAACAGGATATGCTACTGTCTTATTTCCCAGCGTCAATGTGCATCAATTCCCCAGAGAAGCTGTAAGTTTATCACGTCACTCTGGAACTGGCATCCAAGCTGCTGTATCTTGACATCCTTTGTCTCTATAATTAGTCCAGTGCGTGCTATAGACGTCAATTGACGCACATCAAATGATGTGGCATGTGGACAGTATATTGTACCAGATAAACTCCCTTTGATCTGACTTACTTCTACAATGTGAAGAATTAAACTACAGTGCTACCGCCATCACAAACTGAGCAGAAACCAGCGGCTTGATCACAGTGAAAAAAAAGGACGTCAAGCCATCTGAACAAAACAGTCAAACGCCTATTTATAGATCTGCACAAAACATCACAAACACAGCAAGAATGTGTCTGTACATGAGTAAATAAAATGAGTCAATAAATACAAACAATAACCCAAAAGAATGTGAAAGAAAACTTCATATATACACGCTTTCTTTTTACTCCATCTGAATGATCCTTTCTGCTAATATCCAACTTATGAGTTGATGTGTGTATCCATGGCAATAAGGATTGTCGTGATCTTAGAATTAAAAGCATTACACGCTTTTCAGTGCATTAAGCAGAATGCTTGCTTTTGCTCAAGTGCTCTTCTGGGACATCACTGGAGACAATTACAATTCCAGTGCCATTCTGTTCTTCATAAAGGACTGAATGAAGAAAGTGTAAGGAGAAAAGGAGCAGGTAAACCATAGAAACCACACAATCATATCAACAGCATGTACGACATGTTACCTGTGTATCCATTGACATAAATAGCCACTCCACCGAAGATGCTGGAGCGTGTTCCTTCCTTGAGCTTTTCTCTGGGGGCATCAAGTTTAAACTGCTCGTCCAGCTTAGAAACCTTGGCAGCCATGTAGCCGCCCTGCACACAAGAAAAGGAGCAGCGATAAAAGAAGGTCATTGGCAGGCAGAAAACAGGTGACAATCACAAACTACATCTTTGTGGTTTACGAGGTGTGTGAGAAGTTTTCGGGGTGTTGTGTCACAGGGTATATTTTTCACCCCCACTCTGCGTTTTTTCCTTTTGAGACTCTCCCCGCGCGTGTCTACAGAGATCTTGTGGGGTTTTTTTTTTTTTCGAGGAGGGGCGAGTTTTGGGGGGGGACGTGTTGTGTGTGTGTCCCTGTGACCGTGTGTGTTCTCATTGTGCTCTGCGTCTGCGAGTTTTTGTGTGTGAGGAGCATCTTGCTGTTGTGGCCCCCTCTCTCTTCTCCCCCCCTGTGTTTTTGTGGTTTTTTTTCCTCTTCTCCAAGCTCAAGGGGGTCATCAAGGGGACCCGTTTTGAAGACGTGGACGACATCAAGATGGCTGTGACGACGGAGCTGCGGAGGATTCTGGAAGAATCCTTCCAGGAGTGCATGGCGGTGTGGCAGAGAAGGCTGGGGAAGTTGTTAGACTCCAGGGGGATTACTTCGAAGGGGAAAATTTGTAGTTTGGATTTGAAATATATCTTTTGTGACATCAGTCCTGGAACTTTTCTGACATACTTCGTACATGATAACCATAAATGTCTGATTCATCATGAAGTTTCAACACATGACACATATATACAGTCATATTAATAAAAAAGACATAAGAGTGCATATAGTGTATGTTAAAATATGTAAAATGACTTGTCAGTTCCTTGTTTTAAAGGTTAAGAGAGCCATCTCTGTCATGTACTGTCCTCTGGATTCCATAGAGGACATGGGTTAAAGGAGGATGTTAGTGCAGCTGCCATCAATCTTGAAAAACACCTTTGATCCACTGTTTGAAACAAAGGGCGGCTTAAGCAACTTCTTCAGCAACAGGTTGCTAAACCCACAGTGTAAGAAGGAGCATAACTGCAGATCCTTCGTCATACTGTAACATGGTTGTCGTCTCCATCAATATCACCCACAACTTTTTTTCTGTATGTACAACTACTCACTTTCCAATGCAATGTTGTTGTTTTTTTTTTTCAATACTATTGTACAAAAACTATAGTGGGTGTCACCACTGCAGATCATATTTTTATATCTGACAGCTGTATAAAGTAAACAGAAGAACCTAACCAATACTGTATTTTAGGGGCTCTAAATGATCCCAAGCAGTTTTCTGCATCATGTCCTGAAAAATAAAAATGTCCTATTGATATATAGGTGACAGGCCATTACCAGCCAATAATATTGGCCAACTGATATATTGATCACTTTCTAGTGTATAGAGTTTTAAATGTATGACTTTCTCACTCTTTTTCTTATTTTGAAATGTTGTAACAAGTGAATTTCTCCTCTGGGAAGCAATTTTCTCCCATCTTCAGTTACATCGATATTATTGTCCACTTTCTGTCTAATCTGTTTTGGTATCTGTTACCGTTATTATGGGATGCTCTGTGCCATATGGAGTTCTCACAGCTGTGGTAAAGATCCTCTGCAGTCCAGCCTTTACTAATTAGACAGCGAGTTAATTACGTCCATTTTTCGCTGTTACAATGAGAGGGAGAGTAGGATGATGTACTTTTACATTGCCAGTAAAGCCCTTTTCAGACGTGACATTGCTGGCTTCATCAGTTTGTTTAATCGACGGCAATCTGTCATTCAGATATAGCTCACTTTTCCCTTAATGTGTTCCTCATGATGTCAGACTAAATTGAAGCTGAGAGCAGTTTCTCAGACTGTCCAGGTTTATTTATGATTTCCTGAATCACTGAAAATCCTGACCCCGTGTGATAACGGCGCTGCTGTTCCATTGTTCCACTGTGCAAATGTGTGCAACTTTCTTGCTTTGGAGTGCCACAGGGATCCTGCTGCTTTATGAGGTCGCAGGTCAGGAGAACAACTAAACTTCAGCTCCTGTTTATTGTCTTGCAGGAAAAAATGCCTCCGGATTACATTCATTATTTGTGAGTGTGATTCAAGCTGCTCAAGCTTAGTGTCATTTTTTATTTCAGGAAAGTTTTATTATCATAGATATTACACTTAGTAGTCTTATAGATTTTAAACTATAGAGCAAAGTATATAAGAAAGGTGTGTTGTCATGTTGGCACCCAAACTCTATTTTTTGCTCTCCGTGATGTTTTTGGACCAATTGGGTGCAGTTCAGTCTAGTATCGCATTACTAAGTCCGACTCAGTAAGGTTGCTGTTGTGACTTTTACAGAACGGTGATCGCTGTGCTTATTCAAACATGAAATAAACACTTTCTGTTGCTGTCAGATTAATGGTAAAAGGTGCACATCTGAAAGGGCCTTGCTTCATACTACAAAGTGAACATGGATAGTGTAGGTTATAACAGCATACTCACCCTTTCAGCCCAACCATTGTCCCCACCGGCATTGGCTTTCTTCTTCATCCACCCATCTCGACTCATACTGAGCTACCTGAAAGCACAGGAGGGGAGATATTAGTCCATATTGAGACATTTCAAGTCAAAAAACACGCATAGATACCAGACTGCAACAGCTTCAAGCTTACTGAACTTAACAGGTCACGAGTAGATGTTTTTAGTAGGGATCGACTGATATTGGTTTTTAAGGGCTGATGCGGATGCCTGTTATTGGTAATCAAGCAGATATTTGGAACGGATACACATTAAACGCAATGTTTTAACAGTATGTGATAGCAGAGAACTTGTCATTCATAAGTAGGCTTCTCCATCAACAAGATTAACTAGAATGGAATATTTAAAATAGAAAGAGGAGTGATTCAATTAGGATGTTCTCCCCTGTTTATGTTGGATCGCGTAAGGGTGGCTGTGGCTCAGGTAGTAGAGCAGGTTGTCCTCCAACCACAAGGTTGGCGATTCGATCCCCCGCCCCTCCACAGGTGAAGTGTCCTTGGGCAAGACACTGAACCTGAAATTGCTTCCAATGGCAGGCAGCACCTTGCATGGCAGCTCTGTCACCACTGGTGTATGAATGTGTGTGTGAATGATAAACACATTGTAAAGCGCTTTGGATAAAAGCACTATATAAGTGCAGACCATTTATCACGTGAGATTTGTCTCCTGCTCTTCTCTACTTTCTTAATCTCTCAGTGTTCTATCACTTTGATTGCCCACTGAGATCAATATCTTTAATCACTATTAATTATTGTTTTCCAGACTCTTGTTTCACTGTAAGAGGCGCTAATTTGCAGTTTGTGTTAACATCTTCCATTTCTTGTCCAGTTTTTGCAATCTCATTTATGAGTGACTACAGACAGAGAGGTGGCTCCATTAGATCTGAAGTAGCAGCACAGTTCATGAATCAGTTCAATGATCAGTTCAGAAAAATACAGATAGCAATAGTCAATCATAATCAATAATTCGAAAGATGCTGGGTGATAGTGGATCTTTTACTTGGTCTAAATAGCTTTCCACAATGTTAGATAAACTTCATGGATCCCTCACTGGGTACATGTTACAGCAGCTAGATGAAGCAGCTTTCCCAGCATGATGAACTGTCATGTGGATATGTGCAGATATGACATGATGAATGCACATATGGATGTAAACATACACATCCTAAAGTGATGCTGGATGACAATACCAATCAAATGCATGACAAAGATTTCAAATAAAACCTCAGCTATTAGGTATTTGACATTCCATTGTGACAATCTGGAGAAGTTCATTTGTTTACAAAACTTTCTGGTGAGCATGCCAAAGGACTCAAACACTGTTGACAGGTGACATTTAAAACTGCTGTGAATTTAAGTGTGTAGAGAAACGTCGCTGTAGCATAAACGTGGTTCTTGTTGGGAGCAGGCTACAGAGGGGGAGAGGTTGGAGTCCAAGGGCATGCCCGGGCAGGTCCTCCGCCACTGACAGGTCGCTCACAACAAAGCCCCATGTGGCACTTTTGTCACTACTTCTTCTTGTTCCATGTAGCAGCTAGCTAGCGTTAGCCTAGCCGCCGTGAGCGACGCTTGGCTGGTTAAACATGCATGTCGCTGCGCCACTCAAGCCCGGCAACACCGTGTCAGCCGAGGCAGGCGAGGACACGGAGCAGGAGCTGTCCGTGTGGAAGTGTCTCCACTGTACTTGCTAACAATGCATGCGAGATTAGCTACCAAACAATGAAGCGGGCTGTATGACTGTGTAACTTCGGCACGGTGTTAATCACGGGTGTAAACAAACAGCGCTCCCCCGGCGACTGTTCCGACATGAGAAGTCACTTGTTGTTGTTGTTGTTGTTTTTTTCTTACCTTTTTTATCCTGTCAGACTCGGTTTGTTAGCCTCAGACTTCTCCCTGCAGATCAGCAGAAACGTTGTGTGCGCGCTGATTAGGTTAAACGAGGTAAGAGCAAAGCAAAGCGAAATGAGGATCCTCCGGACGCTCGGCTCGACTCCTCGGCGCGGACTTTGTTATTCGGAGAACTCCTTTCGGTGAACCGAGATGCCTTTCAGTTTGTCATGCCGCCACGCCATGGCTCTTGAACATTTTCGCTCACCCTCCCAGTCCTTTCGCTCTCCATTTCAACCGCCTGATCCCTCCGCTTTCTCTTCTGTCTCGGTGAGCGTCAAGGCAGGCGAGCTAACGCAGGTAGCTTCCGGTTAGGTTTTTCAAACTAAAACATGAGTTGACCTGACGACTGTGGAGTCATGTTAGACTTCGACAAACTTTATTGATCGACAGGGGAAATTGTTTTATCACAGCAGCACAAAATAAATAATTACATAAGTGGCAGAACATTACCATTTGTGCCCAGTAGAGATCATCAACTTGTCAAATGTGAACCCCAGCCATCTAATAACAGCAGATTCTGTTGATGTTAGAGGCCTAAAAAGTTGGTGAAACGTCAACCATATATCTATTTGTATCTCAACCTGGCCATTCAACTATTTGGATAAACTGGAAACAACTTTGTCTGTGTCGTCACTAAACCCCTTAGCTGTGGAAGTTATGTTTTTGGAGATATTCAATAAAAAGATTTTGTTTGTTTAGGCTGAAATTAGAAGAAAAAAAAATCCCAGGTCTGATAACACATGGAACCCTGAAAATTCAGACAAAATAGTTCAAAGAAATTAGTTTTGGGTCCCAAACAACAGAAAACCAAAAAGTTGGGTTGTATCCAATTGTTTGCTTCCGTAACCTCAGAAGACCTGAGCACTTGTTTGATATGCATTTTTTTTAATATCTCTTTTTTTTTCTTGCTATTTGATCAGATCAAATAGCAAAGAGAATAAAAAATTAAAAATATATAGAAAATAAAATAGATTTGAAAAAATATCTATATAAAAAATAAATAGCAATAAAAAATAATAAAAATAAAATAAAATGATAATAATAAGAATGAAAATAAGAATAACAATAATAATAAAATATTGTGGTAATATAACCCAACATGTGATGTCTACGCATGCGGACGCCAGGTCTAAAGAGGTTAAGTCTGGGCTCGACTTGGCCCCTACTGTGATGTTTCACCTGCAGTAACATTTTGTCTTGCGTAAGCTGTATTTTACTTTCTAAAACAAAATGCGCTCAGCTTCCTGCGTCCATGCATCTTTTCGTAGCGAGCTTGCCTCCTGTCGTCCCCCGGCTTCTTGTTTTCAGCTCCAAGTTGTGCTGTAACACTGCCACTATGCGGATAACCGAGTACATGTCACCTGAATTGACCGTGAGAGTTCCTGGAGGCTGTGTGAGGTTCGGGTTTGACCCAGTCGCTCTGACACATCCGCGGCACTTTTACGCACAGGTTACGCACATGTTACCTGCTGGTGTGAAGCTGCCGTGTTGGTTATGACGCGTCAGGACGGGGTTTGTGTACATTGTGTTCATGCTTGCTTTCCTGCGGCAGACGGTCTATAGGGAGCAGTCTTGCGTTTTTTTCCCCTCCCGGTGTGTATGTGTATGTGTGTGTGTATGTGTACTGTCTGGCTCGGGTGTCCTCAGATGGCCGGTTCGTCGCGCAGGCAAGTAACGGCCGTGACGCAGAGGCACGTGCAGGACGAACGAGGCTGCAGCGTCACGGCGGGACGGTGGACCGACAGCCCCACAGACACACACTGAATTCTAATAATAACAATCAAAAGAAATAGTCATAATAAAACAGCACCATATGCACATTGCAGAGTCATCACGCCGTGAAATAAGCCGCTCTTGGCTCTGACCCAGCTGCAGAAATCAACCTTTCACTGCTTTGTACGTCAGTGGCTGATCTGATCCCGACACGTGATCTATTAGCTCTTTTTTAAGATTAATTAATTCAGCAGAGGACAAACTGTCAACTACTTTTCAAATCTCCTTCATGAATACACGCAGCTATCTCTGTGCTCCAGAGAGTGGAGTAAAGTAGGTCACAGCCCAGGAAAATAAAAAATAAATGTGATCTGTTTGTTGGATTAGTTTGCAACAAACCACATAGTTCACAGAATAAAAAGATGCCATGAATGCTGTTGACCCAAGGCTGGTGGTGTCCCGAAATGATCCCTCTTATTGGTTGTTCTCTGTTGCTATGGTACCAGACAGGCTGTTGGCATTCTATTATATTTTTCTCTAAAAAATTGAAAACTTTGACTCTTTCTTAATGTATTTAATTTTTTTAGTCAAACTCTCAGGTCTCACCAAAGCCCAGTTTAGACATTCTTTCTAATGGTTGTCGTATGAAATGTATCAGATACTGATCTGAATGTGAGGTTTTAACTACAGGGGTCGAAAGGTTATGATCAGATTTGATACTCAGCATTTTTCTTGTTATCAGTTTCATGATCTATGTAGTCTGTATACGATGTTATCTATATAGTAATTAAAAGGCTTTTCAACAAAGTTTGGTGTTGGAGTTTTTCTCAATTTTGACACCAAGATTCTCATTTTTACTGCAGATATAGGAAATATCAGTTTCAAATATTAGCTACGGGGCTCCTTAATAACAAATATTTGCTATTGGTTTGGAAAAAAAACATATATGAATTAAAATCATCCTTTAGATTGCATTTCTCCTCCTGCTCTCTATGTCCACATAAATATGTATCTAAGTACTCTCTGTACAGCAGGACCTCAATATAGCAGCACTCAGAAGAACGATCATGCGTGAAAGAAGCCCTGAGCCAGCGTCAGGAAACGACTTGATTTGGAAACGTGACCTGTTAGCTGTTAGAGAATAATGAAGGCGACAGAGGATCCTTATATAAATGTGCAGCTGCCTTTATATTAAGAAGAGTGGAATTAAGCAGCCCAGGGAGATAAGAATAAACGCCGTCTGTCATTGGAATAAAAGATGCCATGGATGCTATTGACCCAAGGTTGGTGGGTGTCCCGAAGAACCCGCCTTATTGGTTGTTCTCTGTTGCTATGGCACCAGACGTCGGATGCTGAAGCTTCATCCGCGACATATGTGTTGGTGCAGCAGTAAGTGGTTGCAGTGATGGAGAGTCAGAGGGGGTGAGGGATGTGTGTGTGTGTGTGTGTAGGAGATGTTTGCAGAACTGACTGTAATAGTCACCTACTGTGTGTGTGTGTGTGTGTGTGTGTTACTCATGTTGTGGGGACACAAATCTGTTTACAGTCACATTTAGAAGATGAAAGCAAGTCCCTATGAGCTCAATTGTTACATTTTCGAGTGCAGGCTTGGTTTAAGGTTTGGGAAGGGCTAGGCGAGTAGTAGTTAGGTTAGAATAAGTGTTCAGGAAATCAATGTAATGCCCTCGGAAGTGATGGAAACGCCACTTTGTGTGTGTGTGTGTGTGTGTGTGTGTCACTGAGAGCAAGAAAGCCAGAAAAGGTGAGAAACAACCTACAAGATCCTCTACCTTTACGTGACAGTTACATCAATAGATGGAAGCACCCTGCCAACAAAGTAGTGATTAATATAGCTGAATTTAAAAAAGACAATACAATTTAAAAAAAGCAGGCTATTTGGTGACTGAGTGCATCTGGTGCATCCTTGTTCATAAATCCTTACCAAAAATTATGCAAAACCACAGTATTAAAGAACAGCCGTCTGCATGTGTACACCTACACTCATCAGTTTATTAGGTATGCCTGGCTGAAAGTAATGCAGTCTAATACAAGACTTAAGAACTGACTGATGAAGGATTTTCTAAAACCAAAGCAGTTGAAAATACAAACTGCTCTGTTGCCTGACAATGATCCATTCTTTCTCCAGCGAGAGCACAAACAAACAGTGGGGCAATGCGACTAAATACATTTACTCAAGTACTGTACTCAAGTCCAATTTTAAGTATTTCCATGTTAAGCTACTTCCATTTCTGCTCTACTATGTATTTGGAGGCAAATATAGTATTTTCTACACCTCTACATTGACTTTAAAGCTTCAGTTATTCAACTAGTTATTGCACAGAATCAAGTTATTAATGTAAAATATAACCTGACAAATAAATGATGCTATGTTTTTGTAGATTAACCAACCCAGCAGCATATAAAGTGATTAGAATCAGCTCCAGCTACAACATCTAAGTGATGTACGCATTAATTAACTAATAATTACAATACAGTAATATACATGACTCTGATGTGGGACATTCTGCATACTGAGTACTTATGTTTTAGGCTCTTTAAGTACATTGTGATGCCAATATTTTGTTTTATATTGTATTAAACAGTAAACAGATGGTCTTGTTTTTATATTTTAGTATATAATACTGTATAATATCTTGCATATATTTTCTTGTTTTTTTTAGTTGCCTTTTTCATTGTTTTACTCTCTTAAGTCATGTTTTATTGTCTTCTTTTACTGTTTTATCATTCTTTTTCAAGGTTTTGTACATTTCTAATGTTTTGCAATGGTACCTTGCAACTCCAGTTTTGAAAGGCGCAGTAGAAATAAGGTTTATTATTAATATTCTGTACTTATACTTAAATCATAGTTTGAATGCAGGACTTTGACTTGTAATTGAATTTTTTTACACTGTATTATTGTCACTTATACTTGGGTAAATGATGGAAAAAGTTATTCTAGTGAATACACCATTCACTGTTTGCAAAATTCCACTCTTCTGTATCCTCTGAGTCACCGCCCACATGCTTCACGATTCAAACAATTAAAAAAAATGAATGAAATAAATGATGCAAAAAGCTGTTTCTGTCTAGCTGTCAGGATAACCACCATCGACTGGATTAACAAGAGTTCCGTAAGCTGGTGATCTGAAGAATCTTTTGTCTCCAGTGAAGTTAGAAGATAAAAATGTCCTGTGTTATGTGCATGACTCATCCTGTGCTCCTGAAGCAGAGCCCAGAAAGCAAACATGTGACTTCTTCAACTTAATCTTTCCTTCATCCAGTTACACCAGCCAACTCTCAAGACATGGAAAAATGCAAAAAAAAATTACTAATTTTTTAAATCCATAAAAAGAAACTTCAGCAGATAAACTCACCAACATTTTTATTCTCTTATATTTTTCCTTTTTTTTCTAAAAACAAATTATCCATCAAATATTGCACAGTAAAAACACATAAAAGTAAAAATATTAGATACTTTAAAAGCAAAAGTCATAACAACCTTCATTAGCAAAAGATGCAGACAAGTTTTCTACTTTGGAGAAAGTGGTATATGACTGATTGGTCGTTTTTCCCCCCAGCATCTTCTCCTGTTTTGGCCCCAGAGAAAAAGTCCAGAATATGAAAAAAGCTTTGTACATACTACAATATGCAAGTTCTTTGAGGTCCTCAGGACATTTGGCAAATGATTAGAGACTTCAATCATCCACGGCACACACGACTCCTCGGATACACCCAGAAATGAGGAAGAAGACGGTGCGTGCGGGTAATCGGTGAGATCGCTTCTTCAGAAGGTTTTGCACACAGTGAGGATCCATATGCATCTCAGCATACTACGAGGATGACAGGCTCTATGAGATTTCATCCAACTTATTGGACAGTAGGTATCAGTGGCGTCCTCTTAGCTGCATAGAGATCCAGAGTTTCGTCTCTTCTACAGTAAATGGTCCTGGAGATCCAGCGCGCAGGTTACAGTAAATCCTCTCCGTGTCAGTTAAGTTTGGCACTGATGCGTATCCACTGAAGAGCCTGTCTGGTGTATTGGACAGCGTGAGCGATGCTACTGTGCAGAGTCAATGGCCCAGACAATGTGTTCAAGTAGTTGAAGAACTCTGTAATGACAAAGGAAGACGGAGCTCCTAAGAAATCTAAAAGTCAGAAATTAGACATTTTTTCAGGATAGTCCGTCACTGCGGGTACCTTTATTCTCCTTTGCGAGGTTGTCCGCCACCTCCCAGTATTCGTAGCTGTACAGGACACTGTTGGTGATGTTCAGGTGGTTTGCTGCCATCTGGTGGATGCGTTGGGGAATGCTTATAAGAGACGCAGAGCTGCTGCCCCTGTGTGAACCACGGCTGATGTGTTTGGCATCAGGTGAGAGTGAAGAAGGGGGTCCTCCTGTATCCCTGGGAGGGAAAACACATGTACGACAGCACGATAGGGATGAGTGACGGTTGGAAAGAAGTCAACTGGAATAAACAGAGAGCCTATAATGCAAAGTTATTATCCACCTACTTCCCAGAGTCATTCCAACAGGGTGGTGTAGTAGGCACTTTGGGAGAACTCTGTAATAGCAACAAAATGAGGCTTATTAAATCATCCACACCTAAATGTTTATGTTCTAGCTGTCCATAAACTAAGAGGAGAAAACAACCCTCCATCTAAATGTAAATAAACACTCAGACTTGTTGTTTTTAGACGCACCTTAAAATAGTCCAGCAGCACTTTGGAGTATTTCAGCGCATGATCCTTCTTTAAACGAAACATCTGCCAGTAAAGGAGGGCAAGGCATCGGAAACTGCGGACACACAAACGCAAGTCAAAGGGACTCACACGGACCACAAATCATCCTCAAAATGCAGGTCCTTCAGCGTGATGAAAGATGTGGCATAAACACAGGAGATGACATACGCACCACAGAACCGCCAGCTGTTTGTCTTCCTGTCTCGCCCCAGGCCCAGAGTGGCTCTTCAGCCTCATTGCATACCTTAAGACACAGGGCTGTTAGCAACGGAGCTGCAGTTCGTGTTTATCTCCATGTCCAAATACAAATTACTCGCATCTGTTTTTGCATCAATGTGTAGTTTACCTAATAAGCTCCACTGTCTCCGAGTACATGGTATAAGGAGACTTTGCCTCCAGTGGCCCTTCCTCCATCGCCTTCCCACATTCCATGAAGGAGAGAGCAGCGTCAACGTAGTTCACAGCCTTCCCGAGTTTGTCCACCTGGAAGGAAAACGCCAGACAAACGCAAAGAGAGGAGTCACAGATGGAAAACTAGTGAAGATCAAAAGAATACGTTAACATTGTATTCAGAAGCAAGACTTGTCTGTTGTCACAGACCATGGAAATTCAGCGTTTTGTGTTGGTAACACTATAAACACACACAGCTGAAAGTCATAAATGGGACTAATCATCATGAGGTTGCTCTGCAGGCTTTTGTGGTTCCAAACAAAAAACAGGTGATTTTTGTACCTATTTGTAGAAGGAAAACAGCACATAATTAACCAATCTGGTGCACTTGGAGAGGGCAGCAGCAGCCTTTATTTGACATGAATACGTTACAGATTTATGAAAAGTTATTTTTTTCCTCATATCCCAGTTGGGGTCAAAGCAGAGTCAGCCGTCGTACAGCGCCCCTGGACGAGGTAGGGGTAAAGGCCTTGCTCAAGGGCCCAACAAGGGCAACACTGGGGTTTGAATGTCCAAGTTTCTCATCAGTAGCCCAGAGCCTTACTAGTTGAGCCACCCCTGGTATAATTGTAACAGTTGTGCAAGCGTAGTTGCTTTGTTTTCACCTTTTGATTCTGTCTGTGTTTGTGTGTGTTTGTTTGTCCTGGAGGCACCTACCGTAGCAGGAATTAACAAAAGGGCAGTTTTGAGTACTCTGACAGGTGTTTATATATCTGTCTGTCTTTGGACAGATCATGTCAACACGAGCATAACCGTGCAAGATGCGGTCACGGAACTTGACAGGTGTTTAACTGAGATGTGGTCTGACCCATGAGTATGGAGTACTCATGTAATAATGTTGTAATCCCTACCGAACAGGCTACTTATGGGTTGGAACACCAACACGCTAGCTGGTGTGATCCAATCACAAAATGTTCTCCAATTCCTCTTCACCCCTGTTACGCCTAGACAGGTCTTTCTGCTCCAGAGGTTTATATATCATTTATCCTCTTAGCAGAAGGTGTTCTTGAAACACTTCTTCCTGGAAAGCACCACATAGCCACTGGTTTATCTAAACCACTACTAAATTATATATTTGAACGCTGTTTTAAAGCTTAGTCTTGTTCCTCAGCCCCACTATTGATTTGCTTATCCTATGTGAAACTATCAAAAGCCAAAAGACCAAAGAACAACACATGCACATAAACTAGCAGACACATGCAGTACACTGCGCGTTTCTCTGTGAAGCACAGAATTATTCCTTGGAAACAAATGTGCTATGTGAGTTCTGATGTTTATATGCTTGTTGAACACTGATGTTAAACTGCTGAATTACAATAAAGGCAAGTATTTGTATTTCCCAAAAGAGTGTTTTTTCAGTGATTGTACAACGTCACTGCCAATAATGTAAACTCCATCAAAGATCAGTGACTCACCATCGCATCAGCACGGTGCTTCATCCTTTTAGCTTCATGTAAGTAGTACTCAGCGTGGTGAGGACTAGGAAAATGACACAAAAACACATGAATAATAACGAAAGTGCAGTACAGAGTGGTGCAGAGTGTTTTTACACTGTCGGTAAGTCACAAGAGTGTCTGCTGTGTGTTTACATGACAAACAGGCAGTGTGGGCTGTGCAGCGATGTCTAAGTATGATTGCTCACGTTTCGTGGTTTGGCACGGTCCCTCGGTGTCCCGCAGGGCCCCAGGACTCGGACGGTGGTTGAGGTTGTCTTGACACTTTTACACACTCCACCTCCATCTTGGGCTGAGCGTACAAAAAGCGGTGAAACAAACCAGCACATTGAGTTGTGATGATCTTAACAAGCAGCTGTTTTGTGTTACCTTTATGGCTGAATCTCTGTTCTTCTCTTTGTTCTTGGGGGTGTTATTCTGCTCTGCAGCCTTTGTTTTGGAGGTAGGTTTGGGGGCCTCGGGGCTCTGGGGCAGGGGAGACAAGGGAGACAGCGGAGACAGTGGCCTCTTATTGTCCAAGTACTCCTCCAAGTACCTGCAAGTACACACATTGCGTTGATGCCAACAACACATAACATAGGACTGAAATTGCACTTTTGGTGCATGCAGCATAATTGCATGCCAATTCTGAGACAAATTGTTTATTGTTGTGTTTCTTACCCATTGTGCGTGGTTTCAGTCACAAGGTTCTCAGCTGTGAGAGATGAGGACTCTGTGTGGCCTGAGAGGTCATTTGCATAAGGAAGGCTTCTCTTGCTTTCTCTGTGTGACACACCATTCTCCAACTGGACACACACGAACACACACATGCAAGCTTTGAAGAGAACGTTTCTGCCTCATAGCTACACATGATAACTTGTAAAGACATTTAACGGAGGAGAAACGTAAAAATGCACATTGTCTACCTTGCGTTTCCTTTTGTTGTCTTTCGTCGGCGTCTCAGGGACAAACAGGTGTTTCATAGCCTCTCTTTGCTTGTCCTTGTTCGGTGCAGAAGAGGAGGAAGAGGAGGGTTTTTTAACAGGGGAATTAGTAGTGCTGTCCGGAACCCTTTTGAGAAGACACAGATCTATGTGCACCACCAGATTCCTCAGTCCTCGCTGGGAGGAAGGTGGGGCTTTTTCACTTCGCCCAAATGGGACCAGGGTGTAGAGTTTTTGCTTCCCTTCACTTGGCTGAATCTGGCTTGGGTTACCTGAGCTGGCTCCTTTGGGCTGCACTACCTTTGGCCTGTTGGCGTCAGGTTTGCTTGGGCTCTGTTGCCCTTTCTTGGTGAGTCTCTTGTGAGAGGTGGAGTCTGCTGGAACTTTGGCGATCGGAGCCTGACATTCAGATTCTGAATCTGAATCTGAGTTGGAAGAGGAAGAGGCCGAGGAAGGTGGTCTATGAGGAGATGGGGAACGTGAAGAAAGAGGATGTGATAGCTCTCTGTCCGCCTCACTTCTGCCTCCCTTTTTTGTCCTCCCCTGATGGTGTGAGTCGTCCTGAAGGCGGTGTCGCTCGCTGCTGGTCGGCCCTCTCTGTTTGGCCTGAACTGTTTGCCATTCGTGTCGGTGTTGCTGCTCCCTCTTCCTCCTGTTTTCCCCACTTGCTGTCTCCTCTCTCCTCCTCTGCCGTTCTAGCGCTGCTTCCGCCTCCTCTTCCTCCTCCTCTTCTTCAGCCGAACTTTGGATCCAGGGACGTCTATGTAGCTGCTCCTCCGCCAGCCTCTTGTCTTCCTTTCGCTCCTGTTTCCCTTGTAGTTTTTCCCTGTGTCTGTCCTCTTTCCTTTCGTGTTTTCTCCTCTCTACTTGGGTCAGATGATTACTTCTGTGGTCCACTTCCTGCTCCTTCGCTTGGGGTTTCTTCTGTGATGATTTTGCGTGATTAACATGCGTAGATGTCGGGGCAGTGACCTCCAAACACTTGGACCTATGCTTTAGACTAGGGCTGGACCGAGGGTTCGACCCTTTGTTGATATTATTAGCAGCTTTAGAGGTAGATTGGGAATGAGAACTGTGAGCAGTGTTGGTTTCACAACTAATGGGAGCTAAGCGCTTTGCTCTTGTGGGACTATGCTGTTGAAATGGAGGCCGGGCTTTGTGGCTGGATCTGCTACTCTGGATTTGCTCAAAATGTGATGTGTTTTTAGCTTTGGGAACCTCAATAAGTGATTTAGGGCTTGAATGAAAAATAGGTTTGGGTCTAGATTTGTAACTTAGACTTTGATTAGAGGATTCAACCACAGAAGCCTTCGACTTGCCTTGGTTTTGATCTTGGTCTCGTGTCGGTCGAGACTTAGGCGTGTGCTGAAGGTGAGTATTACTTGCGGGCTTGATCCTCGTATTAGCGTTAGGCAAAGGAGCAATCCATGGCCTGATTTTTGTCCTATGGGGAGTGCTTGTCGGGCCAGGTTGCGCTTGGTTGTGACTCTGAACCTCAGGGTAGTGACAACCCCTGGAAGGAGCAGGTAAACTGGGACTTGGGCTTCTTGGAGGATCTCTCAGTATAGGGCTAGGGCTACGGCTGACTCTTGGGCTCCCACACGGACTGGGGCAAACACTCGGAACTGGGCTAGGGATCAGGCTATGCCTTGGACTTGGGCTTGGGCTTGGACAAGTGCTGGGGAATGGGCTGGGACTCGGACAGAAGCTGTAACCAGGGCTCGGTAGGGAGCCGTTGTTGTGGCTGTAATTGAACTGTGGGCTGGGAATGGGACTTTGGCTGGGGCTGTATTCCTGATTGCTGTCCCACGACCTGGCTGGAGATGGGGCTCGCTGGGTGTGGGGCGAGAGCAGGCGTCCTGGAATGCTCTGAGAGGGGTCTTGTTCACTCCGGGCAGATTTTTTCTGGGACTTCTTCAGCCATTTATCTAACTGCCAAAGGGCAGCAGAAGGACGGTCAGTCTTAAAGCACACAAAAAAGGCACAACATTGAAAATATTAATTAGAAAACAGATACACTTGAAACTTAGCTGAGAGTGACACACATACACTTGCAGTGGTGGATGAGAGCTAGATATATGGCATTTTAGAAAGGTGAGTGGTTGAAAAGAAGTTAATTCTGAAGCCCAGTCCATGCCATCTTTAAGACACTCACCAAAATTACACTGTCTACCAAAATTAACTATATGCTCTACCCAGATTCCAAAACAAAGAAAATATTCGGCACTCCTCACCACAACCATGACACCATTAATGACTCAGCTGCGATCAACGGTCATGTGAGAAAAATTCTGAGACATTTTGGCTGAACTGCAGGCTGTGTTTACACAGAGCAGATGGAGGAAAGTCTGGAAACAAATTAAAAGTTTAAGTAGTAAAACATCTAAAGAATGCAGAGTCACCATTTTCCCCCAGTACTGGTAACACTTGTGGGCACTTAGAAAAATGTTGTGCATGCATCCGGGCTTTTTAAAATGTTTGTAAAGAAAAAAAAAAAATCTTGTGTTTTTTCATGATTTATGGTATTATAACTGTGTCACACTGCACAGACAACATTCTTGAGTTCCCTCTATTTCTAGTCATGGTTGTGTTGGTTCTATAGAGATGCAGGATTTCATATTGCAGTGAAAAGGAGCTCTAAAAATGTCACAGGAGCAAAACAACACAGAGAAACTGCCTAGGGTTCAGGGGGTTCACGCACGGCTTTCAGGTCAGTCTTAAATGTTCAAAAGCTGCAATCTGACAGCAGGAGTCCATAAAAATTCTGTCAACCTGTTTTAATTGAAATGAACCTAATGCAAATGCATCTTGAAACAAGAAAGTCCATCCCTAAAAAGTGATTTGTACTGTATTTTGATTTGTGTTGAAAAAGGTTAAAATGATATTTTTTATTTACAGCTAAATATATTTGAAGGCAAGCGGTTATGACTCAGTTATAGAATAAGGTCATCATTTGACACTAGACTAATCTGACATAACAAAATACTGGCAACTGAAATATTGCTCAAGTAAAATACAAGTATCTCGAAATTGCTTTTAATCACTTAATCCTACATTTAACCAAGTTGAGGAATCACAGATGAATCAACGTCTCCACATTCTCACCGAACCCGCTAAATGACAACACAGTCACTGCACAGAAACACCTCACTAGCTCAGCTGCTTTATAACCTATTTAAATGTCAGAAGACAGGTTTTGGATATGATTCATGCCCAAAAAAACGTAGATTCCAGCTGACATTATAACCTCCTTTCAGTAGCCTACTTGCTACATGGACTCAGTCACACCAGACTCACACTCTGTGCTTACAGTGGCTCAACCCCCATCCAATTATGCCAAATGACTCACATAATGTTTGCTTCACAGCTAACCATAAGAATGAGAGGAACACATGAGAAAGCAGAGAGTTTTTTTTTTTTTCACTCTAATACAAAACAGAGAGGGTACTCACGGCTCGAGAGCAAACTTCTTTCTCTTTTACGCTTTTCTCTTTTTCTGTCTTAGCTGACCAGGAACTAAATTAAACCCTCTACTCCTCAAGTCAAACACTGACCCCCGCCCGCCACCCGCCCTCCCTCCCCTCATCCCTCGCCCTCTTTCCAGTGAAGACACTGCATCTCTTGTACCGTCTCGGCTGCCCTCCCCTCCTGCTTTTTCTGTCCCTCCCTTTTTCTCTCACTACCTGGAACTCTGGATTTGCTGCTTCCACAAATCCAACCCCCAGTCCTTTTTTTCCTTGGGAGACACTCAAACACTCCGGGTAAATGAAAAACACATGGCGTGCACCCCCCACAAACACACGCCTCCCCCTCCCTCTCTCCGGCTCTATAGGGGCCCAATGTGGTGCATGTTTAGCGATACAGTCTGCTGTGTCGTACAGGGCCTTCCATTCATAAAAGAGGAGCAGGTTTCCCCTTCATTGCCCATATAAACCAAACCCCCACAAAGCCCCGCACCTCCAAAAACCTACTGTGCTCAACACCTCTAATCAGTCGGTATCTGTTTTGAAATAGTAAAACCCAACTGCTCCACGTTCTCCTGTGCATTACTGTTATGAGAATGAACTCTCGTCGTAGATGTGAACTCAAGACTTCCACCTCCTGAGGGTTTTCCTCTTTAAGACCTGGCCTTGTTGACATGACACCAAGGCACTAATTCCCAAAGCTACCTCTGCCCCTCAACCTCCAATCCTCCTCCTCCTCCTCCACTCCAACTCACATACATTCCTCATTCCTCTGTCCCTCCCCACACCTGCCATCGACTGCCTCCAGGCCACCGCTCCCCGTGGAGAATTCACCCAAAGGCACACAAACAGAGCGAGACACAAGCAGAGAAGATATAGAAAAGCAGGAGAGGAGCTTTTCGTACCTCCTTGTTGCGGCACCGCGGCTGCGTGTCGGCGGGCGACGCGGGATCTGGGTGAACCTCTGGACTCCGGCTCGGGCTCCGGGAATGAAGGCTGCTGCTGCTGCTGCCCGACTCGGCGGTGGAGTCTGAACCTGAAGAGTCCGAGCTGGAATGTCTCACCCGCCTGCCATTTGTGTGTGCTCGCTGTGCTGACAGGCTGTCAGTCAACACACACATAAACATCAGAGAGGGGTCAGTGGAGGTACACGGCCGAGGGGGAGCGCACGTACTGTTGTTGTTCGCACAGTTTAACTTAGACTTACAGACAAACACTCATAAAAATAACTGAAAAACATCCACAGATCATTTCCACAATGACCAGTACCTGTGTCTGTCCCAAGAAGCTGAGTCATGAATCGCCTTTAGGGAAAGAAAACAGAAACGTATCATTCACAGCTGCAGCAAAGAAGAACGTCTTGCTACACTCAGTGCGTTACCTCTACTGGTTGATTGTCTTCACATACTTGGCATATGGGTGTGTGAGCACAGCATTAAACACTACCAGAAAAACAGGCATCCTTCAGGAGGAGCTGCCAAACACTGGCTGTGATTTATTTCTTTTTCTTTTATTTGCACTTTCTCTTCCTTCCTTTTCATGCTTTTTCATTGAACACCATCTAATCAGCTTGGATCAGAGCTACTGATAAAGAAGTTAATATTATAGGAAGAGAAGTTTGTCCTACCCTTTGAGTGTCATCATCGTCGCTGCTCAGCTTCAGGTCATCGGCAAGCATGCTGGAAACAAACAGACACACAATCAAGTGCCGAACCAATAAGTCCACATATACACGAAACCTAAATAAATTAACAAAGCGCATTTAATGTGGTCAAACACATCACGGCTGATAAACAATCTGATGTTATATGCATAAGTTCAATGTATCAGATCAGTGAATCCCAAGTTTTTAACCCTTGTAAGTCATCCTAAGAAAGCTCCTTGTCATCATTAGAAATCACACCTAAAATAAGTATGACTGTCCACTCGAGTTGTCTTGATACCAGATTTTCACTGTACAATTGTTGTGGCCACAACAATTTATAATAACAGTTTAATCTATAGTTAATAAAATTTTTAAAAAAGTATCATTCAAATTAATCTTTATTGTTTATTGTGTGTTTTGTTCCCTTTCTGGCAAATAAAGTACACTCAAAATACAAGTGTAGGTTGAGTGTGTGACCATAACTGTACTGTACAGCTCTATCACTGTGTGTGTATTTAACAAAATGTCAATACTTAAAAAAATAAATAAATATTGCACTCATCCTCAATATCGGTATATTCCAACACCCTAAATAAGATTAAAGTTTTCCTTAAACATGGCCACATAGAGGAAGTTTCTTTAGGTTTTGAAAATATGCAGTCTGTCTATTTATTCATCTAATCCACTGATGACATATTGCAGAAAAGGAAAAAAAGAAATAAATACCAGAAATCCCCAAAATTACACTTATCACAGCTAGAAACTGTTAAAGCAGAAGAATCATTGGATTTTCAACTTTCTGATGGTCCATGAAGTACTCATCAATAAAATAACTGCGGCATGGTTCTCAAAAAGTATTCGGAAGAGCAAGTTCCCAACAAGTGGTTTTATACATTCAGCATGGGAAAATATCTTTCTAGCGTTGACGTGCAGACTAGTGCGTGTCTAGTTTGTAGACGCCGTAAAAGTGCAAGCAGTAAAATATTTATAGTATGTTTTCCAGTATTGGCAACACCTTTGTGCTGTTGGGTAAATGCTATAGATATTGATTCCATGCTTTTTCAAATTTGTGTAAAATAAATATTCAATAAAATTAAATTTTTATTTTTTATTTTTTTATGACTTGGCAGGATAACTTTGATAGATTGCAACCAAAAACAAAAAACAACATTTGAGTCCTCTCTACTTCTATCCATGGCTGTGCGTGTTGTTTCGACAGAGTTGCATGACTTTATATTGCAGTAAAAGATAAGCTCACAGTGACTAAAACTGTCACAGAAAACTATTTTAGGGTTAAATTAAAATTTCAAGCCAATTACAGTATATTTCCAAAACGGATACAGTCTGTTCTCAAAACTAAACTAATTTTGCTTCTTTAATTTATAATGAGTTGTGCTGAGGCCTGATGATTCTTCTGTTTTGACCTTGCTAAGACACATAACTGAACATGTTTCAATTAGATTACAAAAACAATCCTCAAGTGTGTGAAAAAAAAAGACCCTTTCTAAACATTTTTTGAGAAGTTAACAAAAGAAACTGTTGCGTTACATAACAAAGGCTCTGAGATAATGTGAGACATGCAGTTGGCCTACACGGCTGAACATGTGTTTCACATTAAAAGGAGGATGTAAAAAGTTAACAAACAGGAGCACATCGGTCTCCACTGACAGCCAGCAGGAATGTTAAGTGACCTCTGACCTGACCTGCAGCCTGTAACACTGTTAGCTGACCGACCTCATAAGTCTACGTTCCTTCACTCTCTCGCTCCCCATCATTCAGGCTTTTATTGTGGCGGCTCACACGATGAGGCTCATAACACATTCTAAAGAAGTTGCTGAGATGAGCACATCAATAACGTGAGTGTTGTATTTTATCGCCTGTGAGAGTACCACAGCAGCTCAGGTTTGGTGACACCGGGTGGATCGTGTTTCCTCGTGTCCCACTTACGATTTGTGAGGTGCCACATGAGGGTGACGGGCCATTCGAGGCTGAGCATCCCCTCGGCCTGATGGAGATCAGAAACCATATATTTAAGGATAACCAGTTGAAAATTATTGCACAAACCAGATATGCAACCTAAAAAGTGAGAGAATACATACTTTGTCTTTGTTGTGTTGTTGGCTGTTTCGCATCCTGTGGAAAGAAGAAAGATTGTCGGTAAAATCTGTATTTGAACAGTTGTAACAATTGCCCTCCTACAAATTAACACAAGAAATCTGAACTGATAGAGCAGAACCAGGCTTTTGTTTTTCTCCCTACACATTCCTCTTCCTTGTGAAAACCACAAAAATAATCCGCAATGCACTGTCAAAAATAAATAAACAAAATTATGCTTAAAAAAAACAAAACAAAAAAAAAACAGAACAACTACAAAAAAAACCATAAACCCCTGAAATCCTGCCGGCAAGGTTTCTTAAAAAATATGTAAAAAAAAAATGGTGGAATGCTGTAACATTTAAAAACTGCAAAAATAGTGAAAAATATCTGTAAAATATTTATATTTTTTGCAGATTTAAATACAGTTAAAATAGTGTATTTTTACAGTCAAAAATTTGGGCTGGAGGTTGAGACAATTAAAAACATATTTAGCATTTTTCAGTCTTTTTAATATATGTCAACATAAATAGTTTCTCTGTCAAATATTGGAAGATATATGTGTAAAATACTATTGTCGTTGTTGTTGTTTTGCTTATTTAAACATTTTACAGTCAAATATTGTAGAATTAAGAATTTCCATTTGTAAAAATACAGATTTTTGATGTTATTTTCCGTTCGAGCCTTTTAAGTTTATTTTTTAAAGTTAAAATTTGTTGTTGTTGTTTTTTTATCTGGGATTTGATCAGTTATTATACGCAATTTCAGAAAACAGGGAAAATCTGTAAAATCATAGCAAGTAGTTTAAAAAACTGTGTTAAAAACTGTTTAAAATGTTCTTTTTCATGAGCACCACTCAGCCTCCCAGTGTTTACTTCAGAGATTTGGGTGCGCTACGCTAGAGGCTAATGTCTCTGTAGTCTCAATCATCCAGTTCAAGCAGAGATGAGGAACGGGCCCCAAGAAGTCTGAGAATCTCATTATTTTAACTCTCTACCCACATTGTTCAAGTATATATTGAAACTTGGAGTCCAAACCAAACTAACACGAACTCAAGTGACATCAGCTTAGCAGACTTTCCATATTATATATAATAGTACTCAGAAACACCCGTAAACAGACTTTATAACATCATCTGTGAATTTTTCTTTTAAATACCAAAGATAAGAAACACACACACACTTACAGAGACCCACAACCACACATACCTTAGAGTTATAGAGGATTCGCTGGGCCTGGTCACCCCCTAAGGCTTGCTGGGATGGCCAGGACTGAGTCATGTCCTGTGCAACAGAAATGAGGGGTCAAAGGTGAATGGTGAGATGCCACTGTGATTGATGAAAACATACAAGACATCCTAAACCTGCCACTGGAACTTTCTTCATTTAGAAATAAACTTCCGTTTCCACGTGTACAGTGCAGACGGCCACATTTGACAGCTGGCTCTCATTAGCAGCACTGTTCCTCCCCACCAGGGGGAGTGAGTCTGGCTGTGAATGTAGGACTTAGCTTTGGCTTCTAGTGTAGGCTGAGAGATGTGGATCTCACACTTCAAGTGGTTGTGGTGAGTCAGTCAATGTGTACAGTAAATTAGAAACCGCAGCTCATCAGAGCTGCTACATAAACAGGTGCAACAGCAGCTCATTCACAATGTGTGATCTCACAGACTTGAAAACACACCTGATTTCACATTTTAAGGAGAACAAACCAAGGAATCACTGAGCTACTGAGTGTTTCCAACTTCAACATCCTCAAAGGTGTGCAATCAGCAAATCAGAACACAAGAAAGCTCATCACAATATTTGTTGCTTGAAAGACGGCCCCGGGGAAGAGGAGCATAGACGACGTCAGGTGGACTCAAGCTGCAGCATGTAAACCTCAGTCCCCGGTGCAACGGTTACAACCGCAGGACGGCTGCAAGGTAGAATCAGAACTGAACTGCTTAGATACTTTGTGGAACAACTCAAAAGAAAGCAGTTAAAGGCAGCATCTATCCAGCCCTCCATCATGAACTGCTTTAGGAAACACTGATTCAACATTTACACAGTCTAAGATCTTTGCCTCACTTCTGCTATATGCAGCAATGTCAACTGTTTTGGCTGAAAAGTGTTTGTGCTCGTGATTGTACCGGGGTTTACATGAATGAGGACATCAACATTTCCTGTTTGCAGCTTCTTAAAGGTGAAGATCTTGCTACTTTTGACTTCCTTCTGCTGCCCATTGAACACATTTAAGCCAAATATGCAATTCTTGGACACATCTTCAAGTTTGGGTCATTTGTGACTGACATTTGTAAATATTTTTGAAACTTCACAAACTAATTTTGTTTGTAATTATATGCACTGACTAATAATGTAAATTCTACTTTTGAAGCTGTCCAAAATAAACCCTTTCAACTCATACCTAAAAAGAAAAGTTGGATTGCATTTCTCTTATCAGCAGTGCAACAGCAATATGATGCATTTTAATGGGTGCAGCTCATTGGTCATGAGTCTCTTTTTGATCTTTTAACAAAAATCTAACATTCCAAGATAGGATAAGAGGCATTTATCATAAAAACCCATCTGCCATCTTCCAACCAGTATGATTGTCTTCTTGTCTGTAAGTGGTTTCTTGATGCAGATTATTATCCACACATACAAAACTAAAAATAGGCTGATATAAGCTTGGCAGACGTGTGCGTTCTCTCAGCGTTTTCAGTTCTGACAGTATTTACTAAAACATGATTTAAAAGTAATGTAAATGATAATGTGCACGTGTCGACGCTCGTCCTGAGGTAACATGTCAGAGTCTGCGTCGCGTGATCATACACCTGGACTGTTATGAGCATGCATCTCATTTCTTATTTGTTCTCTCCGCACAGCACTCCAGAGGAAAGCAGTCACATGGAGAAAGCGCTGCGTCCACAGCACACTGTCTTCGCTCTGATTATAATCTCTTCTGATTAGATTGCCCGCAGTCACATTCAGACAAACCAGACCTCATGGATGCTGAAAAACTGGCCTGATTTTGTACCGTTCATTTACCATTTTAGCATGATCTGATTCTTCGGCTGTGTAATAATGCGAAAACACAGGATTTGTTCCGTCAGTGATGTGTACGCGTGCACCCATCACTGAGCAAAGGAGGGCACGAGGTTGCTCGACTGCTGCAAGAGTGAGCAAGCTCCGGAAAAGGTCACGTTTCATCAGCTCTGATGTCTGACGATTGGTGTGGTTGGTGGGCTGAGCGCAGATCAGAATGTGCAGTAACAGCAGATCGTAAAGAAATCAATTAATATTTTGAGAAATTTGCTCTTTTTAAAGTTTCTTTCTGAGTGTTAGCTAAGAAGATTATTACCATTTTCATACATATCTGGCTACAGACAGTAGCTGGTTAGCTTAGCTTAGCATAAAAGCTGGAAACCGGGGAAATCATCTGTGCAAAGGAACAAAACCCACCAAAAATAGACACATTGTGATTTTACGGTGGGATTATGCGCTGGACAAACTGTATTAGAAGTGTACGCAGGCAACTTTTCTTGTGCTTTCCCCAGACTTTCAGATGATTTCTTTAACTCTTGCAGGAGTCTGATCTGAGGGTATTTATTTTATTCAACGACTAAAATAGATTTCTAAGAAGACACATTTTTATGAACCCAGCAGATGATCTCTAAATCTCCTCTCTTCCTCTTCTCCTCCTCCCTCCATAGTAAAGCCCTGGAGGGCGAGTGTTTCCTCTCTCTGCTCATCTTTTCACTTCATTATCTCTCCTCCCTCAGTCACAAAGGACACAGCACCAGCCCTCAACCCTTTCCTCTGCCAACAACAACAAGGTCTCCCAGGTGGAGCATTATGTGTTGCTATCTTCCTCCCACCTCTTTCTCTGTATCTGCTCGTATATTGTTCTGCCCCTGCTCTTCGCCCCACACTGCTGGCAGGACGTAGGGAAAAAACAGAAAACATGACACGAAAAGAAAGAGGACCAATGGGCCGCTGAGCACAGAATAAGACATTTTTTGGGGATTTGAAATTATGAGTCAACCAGAAAATTAATCTGCTCCTGGTCTCGCACAGTCAGACCATTCTGTGCTGCAGAATGATCTGACTGCACCAGGCTGTTATTCTGCTATAAGCTGGGGAAAAAACACTGGCTTGTTTGTAGAATAAGGCTGCAATGACAGCGTTCCTGCAAAATAGTGACATGGGGAATTGTTTTGACGGAACATTTGCACGCAGGCAGGCCAGTGCTGTCATTAGAATGGATAATTCGCAGGAAAAAAAAACTATCAGAGCTGCCTTACTGCACAATCCAAATCCTCGGCAGAAATAATTTCTTCTGTGTGCTAGGCGAGCCTGGAGGTTGTTGGGATTTTGAAAACATGCTGATAGAAGAAGAAGAGGAGAAAACCACATAAGTTGTGCAGGCTTCTATCTGCAGCCGACATCTGGTGAGTCAGACTCTTCTGCAATTATTATCATCCTCAGCTAATAGCAATGGTAGTTTTTTCATGTGAAGATGCTAAACATTCTCTGCTTCTGACTTTTGCACTGGGAAGATTTGCTTTTTTCTCCAGCTTATAAGAACATAATACAAGGTTTGTGGTTACGGCGTCTCAGTGTGAGGATTTGCTGCTTCTGTGCGTTTTATATTCTTTCAAACTGAATGGTTTTGGTCAGACAGAACATGGCATCTGAAGATATCACGTTGGATTAGAGAGTAACTCATGATACGACACTATCACGATATATGTACAGTAACGATGGTATCACGATACAGCGATACTTGATGAATTTTAAAGATGATGCATAACGATACCTGTGCAAATGAAGAACAACATATTTATTCACTGCATTCACTGTGTGTATTTTCTTTCCTCGGCTGTCCACACAGTCTGCCATTTCCCCCCACTGTGAGTTACTTTTTCTTCACCACAGGTTTAGTCACTAATCTACTTTCACTCATTGCTTTGAGCTACCAAGAGCAGTCATAAAGTTGTGTCTCTAGTAAGTCAAACTGGTGCATGGAATCCTGCATGTTTTACTAATAAAAATGATAACTGGTGCCAGTGCACCCAAAAATATAAAGTGATATATTGCCATATCAATATCTTGTCTCTCCCCTACCTTACATTTTAGAAAATACAGAAGGTATCTTTCACTGTTTTCCTCATTTTGCATACTGTGCATGGGTTCATTCACAAATGAGAAAAAAATAATCTGCAGATGAAATGATAATGCAAATTAAATGTAAGCATCAGCTGCAGCCCCTGTGAGCTTCTGCTGGTGTTTCCTCCTTTAAGAACTCATGTGCCGTAATCAGTCTGTTGAGTTTAAAGACTAAAACTTGCCAGAAATTAAATGCAGCTGCTTTAGAAAGCACAAAACCACACTCGCAACATGAGGCAATTCATGTAGTGAGACAGTGGTTCAAAGTAAATATGCTTTTTTTTTTTTTTTTTTTTTAAAACAACAAATTTCCTACCTCGAAAATGTCTTTGGCACAGCTGCTGTGTTGGCTTCTTGTTACCTGTGCAAACAGAACAATGGACATATTTGTGAATGAGGAAAACGCTGCAGGAAGTCAAGGCTGACAGTTACCCAGCTGGAGGTTTAAAGCAGTCCAGAGCAACAGATGCAGGTTTAGTTCTCAACTAGTCGAGCACATGGAGAAAGAGTGACCGTTAATTGCGCACACAAACTATTTTTGAGCATCTTAGTTTGAGTAAAGTGCATTGTGGGTATCTCATTTGAAATGAGAGATTCAGCGCACATTTCGCTTATTGATAAATATAGCAGCGCACATGTACCCACATACAGAGTCAGTACACACAATAAATGCATAAAGTCATGTCTTTCACCAGCCGTTGCAAAGTTTCGGTCTCAGTCACAAAGACATTCGCACAGTTAGAAAAATCACCTTCGGCATACTTCTTCCCGCCTTTTTAACCGCCGCATTCAAAAGTCGGTGCAGCACTTTACTGTACACCGTACAGTCCCACACACGCGCAGTAATTGTGAGAGGTTTTTGAAGCATGTTGATGACTCATATCTTAGAAATCACAGCTGCAGATGATCAGCCGGATGCTGATTCTGTTGCAAGCAACTTTCTGTTTCCATGCATGTTAGGTAACCCCACTCACTCTCCCTGTGTTTCTCTCTCCCTCCCCCATGTTTCTCCTTTTATCAACAATTCAGGTCACAATTTACATTCACCTCTTCAACCCAGACCCACGTTGCTCAAGTACGAAGACAAAGGACAAATTCTTTATATTACTCTCACCTCCCCATCTGTGTAACTGTGTCTATGTGGGAGTGTGTTTCATTCTGACTGTGAGTTTAGTTTCTTTTTTGTTCGTGTGTGAAAGCAGATTATCCTGATCCTATCAAACTCTTATTACATTCATCTGGTTTTGTTTTACTTTATGTCATTCTGAAGCCGCACAGTTTCGTGTAGTTCTCATCTGCTGAGCGTATACCTTCTGGTTGTAGACGTTTACACAGTTTCTTATAATCTACACTTGATTTTAATTTTGGTGATTTGCCATTTGAGCAGCACAAGAAGCGCTAGAAAATTTGTGTCGTCCAACATGCGTGCGCGTCTCTTCTTGCACGCATGACTCACTAAGATCAGTGTCTGAGTGGTTGCAGTCTGAGAGCCTGCGGATGGAAAACAGTGTGTGTGTGTGTGTGTGTGTGAAAACTGTCTGATTATTACAACCACAAGGCAGATATGAGGCCGTAGGCACTGAATGAAAAACATAAACACAGACAAGTCAGTGTTTTAACTCCCCGTGGCGGTGCACGGGCAAAAAAAAAATCTGTCCTGTTTCATCGGTTTACACTTACATGGCCCTATTAGTGTGAATACTATCATGTGCAAAGTGTGTTCACACATCCGTGCCCACTCTGCTCTGGTGCAATACCCAGATGAGTGAAACCCCTCGGGGCCAAACAAAACCACAACCCATCACAACACCTGCAACAAGCAGCATGCAAGCCAGCTACACTAGTAAACACCTGTTACATTCTTTGAGTATCAGCAATTACTGGAGTTATGCTCGATTATAAGGCTATTCGCAGCACTTCCATCTGTGCTGAGTGCTTCAAGAGAACTGTTTATCATCTTTATGAAGACAAAATGTTTCCAATACAATGTGAAGAACTCAGATTATGTCTCATATTTCTTCATCGAGCTCTAAGTATGGCACAGATAATCATAAAATTCCTGAAGATCCTTTAAAGTACACATAGGTGACTTTGATAATACACAAATCTGATGCAACTATAACACCAACAGCCAAACCACTACCATGGAAGCATCTATTCTATGGAGCAAATTCACACAAAGGTAACTCACTGTATCTCTAACTAGGCTACATGCCCTCCCTCCTCCTCCTCTCACCTGAGAATAGGCGCATCGGAGCAGAAAGCAGACAATGGAAAGTTTCCCTTTGCCACCGAGGACAGTAGGCATGGTTCCTGGCTGGTCAGAGCTCTCCTCCGGTGTCCATGCCAGTGAGGAGACGCGTCAGTGGATGCGGTGCTTGTCCCCCCCTCCCCGGCCGTGACGCTGGCATCGGTCCGTGGGTCCTCCGCCGTGGATCCTCCGTGCAGCAGCTGCAGAGTCTGTGTGTGTGTCACTGAGGGAGACGGAGGGAGATGTAGGCGGGCCGGGAACGTCACCGATGACACACACGCAGCGCTCACGCAGGGAGATCACGACTCCGACGGGCCCCGAAGATGTTCGACGCTGTGTTGGTTTGAAACGCGTTGATTCCGATATCAGAGCGTCTAAAAATAGACTGTGGGACACTCAGTGATGTGGTCAGGTTTACGACACTCAGTGAAGCTCTCAGGGAGGCAGCTAGGAATGATGGAGGGGCCCCGAAACCTGCATTAATTGATTTTGGTCACTTGGGGCAGCGAGCAGTGAACGCAACACGAGACAGTTTTTATTAAACATCAAGAAGGATTAACTGGGCAGCATGTGTTAAATATAGGAACATACTTTATTACGAAATATAATGTAGTTCTGATACAAAATGTAAAATAATAATAATATTTTTTTAAATTATTTTTTTCTACAAATCACTGTTATTTTCCCAGTCTTGTTAAATTACCAATAAAATCACATCACAAATCTCACTACATCTTAACTTAAGTTTGAAAAACAAACAAACAAAAAACTCCAAACCAGACCACCACTGTAAACAACCTCGGCATTAAAAAAATAAATACATAAATCTGTATTTTTAGAAATGGTCCTTCAACCGTTTACATTTGGCCATAAAGTAATTTAATCTTTTTTTTTTTTTTTAATGAGGCAAATAAACTATGTATATTGAGGTAATTGAGGTACATTGAGGACTGACTTTTTTAAAAAACTGTTTCAACCTGGAGTCTCTGCATTTT